TGTGGCCCTAGATAGGATGGCCAAGTATGAGATCTCTGCCCTGGAGGGGGGCCTGCCCCAGCTCTACCCGCTGCGGCCCCTGCAGGAGGACAAGATGCAGTACCTGCAGGTGAGCACAGGGCTGGGGGAGAGGCCGCACCTGCGGGTGGCGGGGTGTCCTGACCTCCCTGAGGCCTCTCCACTCGGAGCCCATCTCACGCCTTCTGCAGTTGCAGGGGTGGCTGTCACCATCCAAGGACGTGCTGGCCAAAGGTCACACAGCCTGTGTGGGTGGGCCCCAACCGCCACCCCCAGGGCCCCTGTCACCTGAATTATCTCCTGCCGGCTCAGTGTCCTCAAGGAGCGCCTTCCCCAACCAAGGGCACAGCCCTGCGGCTCGGAGAGACTGCGCCAAACCTCACGGCTCCCAGCCAGGCTGCCCCGGCGCGCAGCCTGATCCCTAACCCATGGAAGGCCCTTCCCCGGGGTGGAGAAGGGTTTGTCCCGGTTTTCCAGGAGGGCAGCTCGGGGTAAAAGCCAGCCGCGTCCTGACAGGTCCCGCCCACGCGGCGCTTCTCCCACGACGACGCGGACGTGTGGGCCGCCGTCCCGCTGCCCGCCTTCCTGCCGCGCTGGGGCTCCGGCGAGGACCTGGCCGCCCTGGCGCACCTGATGCTGCCCGCCGGGCCTGAGCGGCGCCGCGCCAGCCTGCTGGCCTTTGCGGAGGACGCACCCCCGTCCCGCGCGCGCCGCCGCTCGGCCGAGAGCCTGCTGTCGCTGCGGCCCTCGGCCCTGGACAGCGGCCTGCGGCGAGCCTGCGACTCGCCCCCAGGCAGCCCGCGCCGCCGCCCCGGGCCCGGCCCCCGCTCCGCCTCGGCCTCTCTACTGCCCGATGCCTTCGCCCTGACCGCCTTCGAGTGCGAGCCACAGGCCCTGCGCCGCCCGCCCGGGCCCTTCCCCGCTGCACCTGCCATCCCCGACGGCATCGATCCCGGAGAGGCCCCGACGCCCCCAAGCAGCGCCCAGCGGAGCCCCGGGCCACGCCCCGCTGCGCACCCGCACGCCGGCTTTCTGCGCCCCGGCCTGAGCGCATCCTGGGGCGAGCCCGGGGGGCTGCGCACGGAGGGCGGCGGCGGCAGCACCAGCAGCTTCCTAAGCACCCCCTCCGAATCCTCGGGCTACGCCACGCTTCACTCGGACTCGCTGGGCTCTGCGTCCTAGGACCGCCGGCGCCTCCCCACGGACGCCAGTCAGGCCAGGCCGCCCTCCAGGGCCATGGCACCAAGGACGCCCGCCTCCGCCCCTCCCAGGGGTGAGGGAGCGTTGGCCTCGGCGTTTGTCTTCCGGCTCCTCTCAGCTGGCCTTGTCCCAAGGGCGACGGCTGCACCGGACGACTGCACTGGCACCGCATGTTCCTGGCTGAGTGAGGTCCGGCCTGGGGAACTGAGTGACATCCCAAGTTTGGGCTTGGGAAGTGAGTGACATGTGCACGTCCAGGTGCGCCATCACCAACCCTGGGCAACAGGACATCGCGAGCAGGGAACCTGAAACAGGGCCGCTGCGGGACCGAACAAAGCCCCGCCTTGGAGAGGCTGAGCTGGAGCCACTGGACTCCCCAGGGACTTTCCACCCACACTGCACCATAACTGCCACACCCGGGGGGGGGGGGGCGGGGGTACAGTGGATCTCTAAGCACAGGGGTCTTCAGAGCCCAAACAAGCTCTGATCAGGTCTCTCTGCTTCCGACCTGTCCTGCCTCAGTTTTCCCATCTGATGAGCAGGTGACCACGTTAACTCTCAGGGCTGTTTGAAGTCTCTTGGTTGTAGGCCCTGGCCACTGAGTGGCCCAGGTGTGAGAGGTCGTCTAGGGCTCTGTGTGGCCTTTGTGGAGGTCTGTATTCAGCATGTGGCCTGGTGTGGCCCCCTAGGCCTGAGGCCTCCTACTCTCCGTGCCCCCTACCCCCTTGGAAACCCACACTCCACCCCAGCTAAGCACAACACTCTGCACCACCACCACTGGCACCTCAGCCACCTTGACCACCATTAGTGTCCCCACCCTCGTTACTCTGCAATCGTTGCCTGTTCCCACCACATCAGCTCCCCCCATGGCTCCCACCATGTGCGCGGTGCAGGCAGAGAGCACGAGGGCAGCAGGGCCTGGGCTTCCGTGTCCCCACGTCCTCCCCAGCCTCACTCCCCACCTGTGCAGGCCTGGCCAGGAAGGGATCCTGGCAGGGGCTTCCAGGTTCTCAGCTGCAAGGCCTGGCTCTGGGCAGGCGTCCAACCCCTGAAGCAATGTATTTCTTTGCCTTCCCTCCTGGGCAGACCCTTTACAGGCCTGGGCATTGCCATGGGCCCTGGGTCTTCCCAGGCTAAGGAAAACCAGGAACAGCTATAACCTTGAGCTGGTGAAATAGGGCAGATGAGAAAGCTGTCTCCTCCAGACCCTACCCCTATGCAGTGGCCCCACAATATGAAAACCTGGGGTACTTTCCAAGGTCAGCATACAGCCTGCCTGTACCCAGTTCCTTCTGGCCGTCAGGTGGCCAAGCCTATCTCATCACCCTTCAGATAGGGTCCCACTCCCAGAACAAGCTGCTGGCATGGGGTGGGAGGCTGCCTAAGCCTGTCTCTGCTTCAGAGGCCCCTCCAGTCCCTGGCTGTGGGGTAACTGGGGGTATGAGCTGTGGCCACAGATGAGCAAGGCAGGGAAGTGCAATCCAACCCTGGCCGTGGGAGGGGCCATCTCTGGCCAATGCTGCTGTGCCTTCAAGGACTGACAAGTTACGTAGGGGCAGAGGTCACCAGCTAGCCATTGTCTCCTCCATCTGGGGGCCGTCTGTCCACTTGTCACCTTAGGTTTTCACTCATTTGTCACCTTGGGGTTTTACTCTGTATGTTTCATATCCAACGGCAATACAGGGGGACAGAGTCCCCTAAATCACTCCAGTCCTGCGGTTTTTACAAAAATAAAGGGGGGGGACCCTGGGCCTGGAGTTCTCTCCCAAACTTTGTCCGGCCTCCAGGCCTGTTCGCTGCGTTTCTAAGGAACTTGACCCTGGCCTCACTGGGGAGGGAGTTGTCTTCATAGCACACCCAGAGCCAGGGATCCCTTTGTAGTTTTTTGACAACTGAGCATTTCTCTTCTGTACAGGACCCAATAAAAACTTCCTTATGATTTGCACCTGGCATTCCAAGGCTGGTTTCATGGAAAACCCTTCTACAAGCTCACAGCGGGGCTGGTCAGCTGCCCCTTAATGTCTTCCTCTGGAACCTGAGTTCTGGTAGTGCGCCATTTTTGGGGGGTTGGACTTGCCCTCTGTCTTCAGACAAATGCTGCAGTCCCACCAGCGAGTGAGGAGTGAGATGGTCCTGGAGTAACAACAGGATAAAGCAGTGGGGTGGGCTCTACAGCCCACCAGTGGAGGAAAGGCCCTGTTAGCCCAGGTGGCAACCCCTGCCCCAGGGTTGGCACCTGGGGCTGCTAGTCACTGTGAGCTTGACTGAAGAGAGTGAACAGGTCAGGGCAATAGGAGCTGGGCCTAAGCCACCTGGGACTTGAGCCCCTGTTCCGCGCGGCCCTCCTGGAATTTGGAGGAAGGACTTTTGGGCCTGCAGTGCAACACCGCCACCTGGTGGACTGCAGAGGGATTTGTCCTGGCCTCCACTCCACCCCACACCGCAGGAAGCACAGACCCGAGAGGCCAACCTGGACGGCGACAGCCGGGACCCCCACCCTCGCCCCAACTCCAGCGAGCCCACTAGGTGCGACTGTGGAGCCGGGCTTTTGAAGGACCTTGAGTCCTTCACGCGTTTGGATCAGGACGGGTTTAGTGCCCTGCAGGCCAGGGCAGTCCAAAAAGAGAAGAGCTTCTATAGAAAGTTCATATTTGTGGTTCCAAAACATGCACCTAAGTAGGCATCGCAGGGGTGGGACACATTAGACCTCTGATGTCCTCTTGATGCCCACTTCACAGATTCGCGCTGGCTTTATTCTGAATTACAAGCTGTCGGGAGGAGGTGCCAGGATCTCTGACCCCACAACCCCAGCTCCCCCTCGGTGGCCCGGGATCCTGGGCCAGAAGCCCAGGGGAAGAAAATTTGACCTGAGAACCTCCCACCACCGAAGTCCGTGCGCAGCAGTGACCTCGTTATGAACCAATAAAGTGGCGCAGCGCGCTCCGAGAGCCGTCCAGAGTGTGAATTCTCCGGCAGCCCTAGGGATCTGGAGCTGCGGGGGTCTACGGGGTCCGGGCCTGGAATGTGGGCCAGGGTCTTTGTCGAGCGAAAGGCGTTCCCCTCTCCCACGAGAGGCACCGGGTTCACTTTTGCAGCCCTCAAGCTGGTGCCACCAAGCAATGGGTCCCTTCTAGGAACCGCGTGGGCGGGGCGTCCGGGTGAGGCGGTGCATCTTAGGGGCGGGGCTTCTGAGAAGGGCAGGCCTCGGGGAATGCGCCGGCCGGGTGGGCAGCGCTGCTTGCAGAGGAGGTCTTTGGAAGCCAAGAGGGTCCCAGGTTAGGGGAGGCTGGGGGCCCCTCGCCGGCGGGGCGGGGCCAAGCGCGCTTTGTACCGGTGGGAACCGGGCGCCCGCGGTCCGCTGAATGGGCCGGGGCGGGGCAGCAATTCTCCTCGCTGCGAGGGGTCAGCTCTGCGCTGCTGCCAACTGAGACATTCCCACCGCTGCGCGGCAGCCGGGCGGGGGTGGGGGCGGGCGGGTTGCCCGCCAGGGGTCCCTGGGAAAGGGGCTCAGCCCAGGACACCCCCTCCCAGCCCCTCCGGAGGATGGGCGGAGAGCGAGCAGTTCGGCGTGTGTAGGTGGAGCTGGAGTGGGGGTGGATTATGCCCAGACGCGCAGACCCGGTCCGGAAGGGCTGGGAGTATTTCCCTGCGCTAGCGGGGCGCGCGGCCCTCTCCAAGCCACCCCCGCCCGAGGACCAGAACGGACGACTGGGAGGTCCCAGCAGTCACTGTGGGCGTGCTGAAAATAGTCCCTGTGTCGCGAGACCAAATAGGGAGCGCCTTCAGTTCAGGCCATCCCCGGGGCTTCACCAGGGCCGCCACACGCGCAGGCCCAGCCCAGGGCTCTCGGCGCAGCAACTCGACGCTGGCTGCGGCGGGGGAACGCTGGCGGACGAGCCGGGGAGACCTCCGGGGAGGAGGAGCGGGGGTGGTGGGGACCGCGGGCCGCCGGCGGCCGGAGCAGGAGCCCAGACGGCGGGGGTGCAGGGGCCGTACGGCGCGGGCGCCTCCTGCACCAGCCCGGCGCTGTCCATGGTGCTGCCGGCGGCCCGCTCCGGCACCAGGGGGCAGAGCAGGCCGCCGCCGACCTCATCTCCGCGCCGAAGGAGCTGGCTCACGCCGGGCAGGCAGCTGCGGAAGCCCGACGGGTGCTCGGCTCCGCTGGGCACAGGCCAGAGCCCTGTGGGGAAAAGTGGACGAGAGAAACAGGAAGGGGAGGGAAGGGGAGGGGAGGGGAGGGGAGGGGAGGGAGGGGAAAGGAGGGAAGAAGCGTGTTGACGAAGGGAAGAGGAGGGCGGAGAGGTCAGACGACCCGAACGTCTCCCCCGGGGTCCAGACCTCCTACCACCCAGATCGCAATCGCACAGCCAGCCCGGGCTTTACTGCTCCTCCCTCGACCCCTAGCGAGCTGGCGCCCCCTCCTCGCCAGCTGCCCAGCTGTCCTCTTTATTTTTGAGCTGGGGGTCTTGCTGTCTTGCTATGTTGCCCAGGCTGGTCTCAAAAGCCCAGGCTCAAGAGGTCCTTGAGGCATCCCTGGCTCTGATCCCACAAGCCTCCCCCTACTCCCTCCAGCTCTCCCGTGTACCTTGCAAGGAGTTCTGAAGGCTTCTCATGTACTTCACGCTCAACTCCAGGATGTCGGCCTTCTCCAACTTGCGCTTCCGGATCTACGCCACCATGGAAAGGTCTATTAGGCCGGCCTCCCGAGGTGGAGAGAGGGAGGTTGGGATCGTATCACCCACCCACCCCCACCCTGCCTGAGTCTTACCTGGTGCGAGTAGTGTTTCTCCAGCAGCGACTTCAGCTGCTCCAGTGACACGTTGATGCGTGCCCGTCGCTTTTTCTCCATCAGCGGCTTGGAGATCTGCAGATGAACGGCCTTCAGAGTGTGGGACTGCTACCCTCCTGCCCTCTGCCCCCCCAACCTCCTGGGGAAGGGCACCTGCCCCTCACCCCTCAAGACCCCAGACCTTTCGGAAGTTGCTGGGGAGGCTGCCCCGGGCAGCAGGCTCCGTGCCCATGTTGCAGTCCGTGCACCAGTGTGAGGCAGTGCTGCCTTTATAGGGACCCTCGTTTACATGTCAATGAGGCCCTCTGGACTCTAGAAACCTCGAGGAGGAGGGGACCAAGGGAAGACGCATCGGGAAGCTCCCCACCTCCTTCCCTCAGCCCCCTCCCATAGCCCAGGCTTCTTCTCACCTTCAGGACCCCCACCCTGCCTTCCGAGGGACCCCCCTTCTCCTTTCTCTCTTTTCCTTATCTCTCTGGCCTCCACCACTTCCCAAGTCTGAGGACCCCTGCCATGCCCACCCCCCTCCACGCCCATCCTGTCCCAATTCCTGTAAGTTCTCTAGTCCCACTTGCCAAGTCCTTGATACCCTGGAGTGCAAGCATTCCGGGGATCACCTACTGGGGAGGTACCTGGGCCAGCTGGCCACAGGCTGCCACATGACTATGACAGGGCTCTGGGCTCCCTCGGGACTGATGACGATGCCAAGGTGACACCTCTCTATGCACTTCATGCTCTGGCCATACCCGCAACGCCACATTAGTTGCCCTAAATGTCAGGACAATGCAGCAATTTTCTGCCTGTGGCTGCTCAAAGCCGGGCACAAGCCAAGCCCGCAGGGGCCACACAGCAACGTGCGTCCCATTAAAGCGTGCAGCCCGCCCTCGGGGCCACAGCCAGTCTCATCCTTGCTGGGGCACTGGGCTTGGGAGGGGTCCTGGTGGGGGTGTAGCCTGGGTCCCGTGTTCTCTGACACTGCTAGGATCCAACGCAGACTTCCCACAGGAGGCAGGTGGGGTGAACGCGGCTTCCTCCCCCTGCCCCACAGCCCTGGGCTTCCGGGCTGGGTAGCTTTGGTGGCAGACCCTCTCCCCATGGAGAAGCACGGGAAGTCTACTCCCATGAGCCTGCTGTCAGCTCCACGCACAGGTGGTGGTGGCAGGAGGCCACTGACATTCTGGGAAGAGCTCCAGGCCACACTTCGAGAGGCCCAGGGCCCACACCCCAATCCATGATTCAAACTATGGGGGACCCGGCCGGGCGCGGTGGCTCAAGCCTATAATCCCAGCACTTTGGGAGGCCGAGATGGATGGATCACGAGGTCAGGAGATCGAGACCATCCTGGCTGACACGGTGAAACCCCGTCTCTACTAAAAAATACAAAAAACTAGCCGGGTGAGGTGGCAGGCGCCTGTAGTCCCAGCTACTCGGGAGGCTGAGGCAGAAGAATGGCATAAACCCGGGAGGCGGAGCTTGCAGTGAGCTGAGATCCGGCCACTGCACTCCAGCCTGGGCGACAGAGCCAGACTCTGTCTCAAAAAAAAATTATGGGGGACCCATTGGAGGAGGTGCCTGGAGCACTCGCCCCAGGATGGGTTAGGCCCTACAGCAAGGTTCTGGGGCCATCCCCCTGGTTGAACTCCAGGAGGCTGAACTGTAGTCGCTGTGATGGACAGGAAGGCTGACCTCCAGGAAGTCCCTGGGTTCAAACCTAGACATCTCCCATGGGCCCTCATGGCCTTAGTTTTGGGATTTGTAAAATGATATTCTGAACAATGCAGCCCCCATTGCTTCTGAGGGTGACAGGGAAGTCGCAAAAATTCTGCAGCTGAGCCCTGTGGCAGAGGAATGAACAAACCGGCTTCTGTGTAGGGACTCAGGGTGGGGTGCACCCCCCAGCGCTGTCAAGCCGGGGTATCTCCCCCGAGCCCGCCCCCGCCTACCCTCCCCAGGATAGCGGCGTTCCCAGGCGCCAAGCAGCGTGGAGAATCGCGCCACGCCCTCCCCCTTTCAGGCCGAGGCAGCAGCAACAGCAGCTCTGGGGCTCTCTCCATCTCGGGCCGCAGGGCCCGCGGGCCAGATCTGGGCCGACCTGGGCCTGGGAGGGCGGCGGGGGCCGAGACTAGGCGGCAGGCGCTGGCACGCGCCGGGCAGCTTTGAAGCTCCAGGACCAGCCGGGCCGGGGCGTCCTCCGTGCGACTCGCTCCGAGCTTGGGGAGGTGGCGGCGCGGTACAAAGGCACCGCGGGGCGGGCGGGCGGCGCGGCCGGGCACAAAGGGGGCAGTCGAGTGTTAAGGGCATTGTGCGGGCCCCACAAAGCGGCGCCCGCCCCCGCCCCCTCGGGGCCAAACTCCGGGCGCCCCGCTGGGCGCGGACTTCCAGCTGCTGCACATCTGCACGGAGGCCTGGCGCGCGCCGCGCCCCGGCAGGCCTCCCCTTCCCCGCGTTCTCGAGCTGCGGGGCAGCGGGGCAATTTGTCCTCTAATTACAATCCTTCCCTGTAAACCGCCGCCCGCGCCTTTCAACTCGGGTGCATTAGCAAACCAATGGCTCTCCGCGCAGCTCTCGCGGCCCGCAGCTGGGTGCCCGGCCCGCCCCCTCTCCTGAATCCGGGCCGCCATAAAGGGGCCCTGGGGCTGTCCCCGCCGGAACCCCGACACCCGCCGTTCCCAGGGCCACCACCCCTCCCAAGCCTGTCCCCTGGGATTCCAATCGCACTGGGTGGGGCCGCTCACGTGGATGGCTTAGTGTTTCTTAAGCAGTGGAAAATTGACCGCAAAATGCGCTAATTCGCAATGTTCTGCTTTGGCTGCAGGAGGCAAGGCCCGCCTTAAGGCCTGGGCGGAATTCTCAGGCGTCGCTCCGCCCTGGTCCACTGAATGGACTTCCGCCTCTGCGGCCCCCCGCACCCCAACCCCGACACTGCCCGCCGCGCCCCTTGTCCTGTGGCCCGTTTTCGGGCAGGGGTCTCCCCAACTGGAATGATTCCCCTACTTTCTGGCGCCCCCACCCGTGGCTCCTCCATCACAAACAGCCTCCTTGGTCCGCTACTCGCCTTACACTGGCCGAGGGTCGCGCAGGATCAAAGTGGAGAGAGATATTGGTGCGACTTCCACCCTCCCCTTCTCCGAGCTCTGAGCCGGGTTTCTCCCCACCATGGCCACTTTACCCTCACTTCTTGCTCCTCTCTCTGGGCAGCCACTTCCTCTACTACTAAGTTACAGTCATTGTGCTTTGCATCTGGCAAGGTCATTGGGAAAGACAGCAGACTAGTCTCCACAGAGACCGTTCCTAGAAACCCAGGCTGAAGACTCGGAGTCCACCCTCCACCCCAGCTTGTCACGCTGCTTACAAGCCCTGAGTCTGGGCATCCTAGCACAACCTCAGGCAGGCGTGGCTCCAAAGGGGCTCACATAGACCAGGAGGTATTTTCAGAGCTGGAGGGGGAGTGGCAGTAGGTTCACCCTGTCCTCTGAGGGCAAGCAGGACAAAGCACTCTCGGGCTGCCAGGAAGGGCATGGACCAACTTAGAAGCGGGGCTTACGCAAGCTGGGATGTAGGCCACCAACTCCCTTTCCATCTTTAGCATCTGGGGTCCCCAAGGCAGCCTGGAAAGGAGCACAGGTCCAGGAGGAGAAGTGGGGAGACCCAGGCCCCCCTCTGCTCATTCAAGGAAAAAAAAACTTCCTTCTATAACTCCTGAGGGCTCTTTGAGCCTCCAAGGCTGCTCAGGGCCCCTCCTGTCTCATGTTGGGGAATTTAACACAGAAAGTGACAAGTGTCTGTGCCACTCCTTCCCTCATTTGGTTTTCCTGAGTTTGGCAAAAAAAAAAAAAGAAACAAAAAAAGAACATTATGTCAGGTCTGGAACCAAGTAGGGAGAGGTTTTTAGGCCCCAGGACAAGAGCCCTACCTGTGGCCCATCCCAGAGGATAGCCCTGTGGCTCCGGGTGGCAGCCCCTTCCCTTCTGCACTTCCAGGGGTTTGAACCAGTGCTGACTGGTGAGTGCTGCACAGGCTACTGTGGATGCAGGTGACTAGAGGGAGAAATCTGTTGTCCCCCTCTGCAGATGCATTTCAAAGTGACATGAAGTGATTGCTCCATGTAATTAACTATTGGGACACACAGCAAAAGCTCTGAAATGACTCAGCCAATTGTCTCCAGATGCGGTTGGAGAGGCTGCGATTGTTTAACTCTCTTTAGCTGTGTTGGGACTCCCAATAGCCCAGCAGACAAGGGCCCTTCAGATGACAAAGGCTGGGACTCCAGTGAGTGCATCAACGCTGACCTGGCCCAGCTCGGGGAGAGTGAGTTCAGAAAGACCCCCATTGCCCCAGGCTTTTGTATTTCTCCCCAGCTGGCTCTAATCTTTAAATATTTACCCGGCCCCTTTGTGCACATATGACTTATGCACTTTGGGCTGATGGTGCTCATAAATTACATGTTGTTTTCCTGTTTTTCAGCCTAGAAAGAGAGAGCTTTCACTCCTTCAGCCTGGAATGGCCAGAGGAGGGGAAAGAAAACTTTTGGAAGACAGGGATTCCCTCCTGGGAAGAGCTGCAGCCACACTGGACAGGCCCCTCCCTGCGGCCCTCCCAGCCTCCATGTGGACAGAGGATGGGGCAGAGGCCTGTGAATGACTGGGAGCTGCAGGGGACCAACTCTCTTTAAAAAAATCACCAACCTGGCTGGGCACGGTGGCTCACACCTGTAATCCCAGCACTTTGGGAGGCTAAGGCCGGCAGATCATGAGGTCAGGTGTTCAAGACCAGCCTGGCTAACATGGTGAAACCGCATCTCTACTAAAAATACAAAAATGAGCCGGGGGTGGTGGCAGGTGTCTGTAATCCCAGCTACTCAGGAGGCTGAGGCAGGAGAATCGCTTGAACCCAGGAGGCAGAGGTTGCAGTGAACTGGGATCCTGCCACTGCACTCCAGCCTGGGCGACAGAGTGAGACTCTGTCTCAAAAAAAAAAAAAAAAAAAAAAAGAAAGAAAAAAGAAAAGAAAAAGAAGCCTAATTTCATCTCAGCCTAGAGTTTAACTTGGGAATAGCATAGTGGTTCTCAGGGTTCTCTAAAACAGGAGGTATCCACACTCGGGTTCAGGAAAGAAAGCCACCTCAGCCTGTGGGCGGATGGCAGGAGGGGGAGGGAAGGGGGAGGCAGCAGAGGGAACTTCCTGCATGAGAAAGGGCTCCCTTTGTGCCTGCCTGGAAAGCTCCTAGAACAAAACACATTCAAATGCTTATTTACAAGAAAAGGCAAGCAAGGCATGCCAGGCAGAGCTGTTTTCCCTTTTTTTCTTATATTTTTGTAGGTGTGTTGTCCTGAAGCATAGAGGGATGGGTGCACAGTGGGTCTGCTTGATCAGATTGCTTTCCCCTGGAGCAGGAAAGCAGGTCCCTGTGTGGGGTCTGCGTGTTTCTGTGTATCTCCGTGTGTATATTTCCCTGTGTCTATGTGCCGCCCTCTGCATGTGACTTTGTTTCTCTGGTTTGATGCCCTTATGTGCTTAGATCTGCTTCCTCTCCTTTCTCCTCCATCACTGCTCTGTGAACTCTGGGCCCTGACAGATTTGGCAACTTCTGCAACTTCTGAAAATTCTCCTTCCCTGGAGTCCGGCCCCACCTGGGAGGAGACCGCTACCTCTCCTTTCTTTCTCCCTTCTCCAAAATGGGGCTGATGAAGAGGGAGGGGCCAAGGGGAGGTGATGGGCAGAGGAGAGAGCATTGCTCTGGTTCTCCAGTCTGGTGACATATTACTCTGCACCCCTGAGTGGCAACAGTCCCTGGGGGTAAATCAGGGCTGTCATACATTGAGGAGAGCAAAAGCCAGAAAGGGCTTCCCAGGTACAGTGGTTTCTGGCCCCAGGACCAGCTCACTTCCAGGGGTGAAGGTGCGATGAGTGCCCTCTGGTGGTCCTGAGGTGTCCTGGTGCGGAGGGAGAGGTCCTGAGTCTGGGGGAGACCACAGGAAACTGGTGGCAGTCACAGGAGCTCTCAGCTCCCAGGAACATTCACACCCAGGCCTCCTTCCCATGTGGCACTGCAGCTGGGTGACTTTGATTTTTAAAACATTAAATCTATTTTCAATTCCCATCCACCAAGTTTAGCAAGTTTTCTGAGCACCGTTTAAACATGGTGCTAGGTGCAGTGGTGCATGCCTGTAGTCCCAGATACTCAGGAGGCTGAGGCAGGAGGGTGGCCTGAGCCCAGGAGTTTGAGGTTGCAGTGAGATCAAATGATCTCACCACTGCATTCCAGCCTGGGAAACAGAGTGAGGCCCTGTCTCGAAAAAAATCAATCAATAAAATAAAATAAAGTGGTACTGGGCTTTACAGAACAAATACCAATCTGTGCCAGAGAAATAAGGACCCCCACTGTACAGGAAACAGAGGCACATAGAATGGATTTGCCGAGGTCACAAAGCTAGGCTGCAGAGGGTGAGGGGTCTGGGATTCTAGCCCAGCCTCTCCATCCAGCTTCCCAAGTACCAGAGCTCCTGCCAGGACCTGCAGGGACTAGAGTGGAGAGGTGAGGGGCTCAGATGCAGGACTCACAGACCGCCTGCCTCTCTCGCTGACCCACCGCTTGGTGCCAGCCTCCCTGAGGGCCTGTCCCCATCCCTTCTCAGCCTTGCTTCCTCCTGCCTCTGTGCCTTTCAAACACTGAGCCCTCACTCCCTCCTTGATCTCATTTCCAATGGAGGGCAGGCTGTCCATCCCCGAGGGCCCCAAGGCCTAGCTCCGGCGTCTGTTCCTTGCAGCCTCCTCGCCCTGCCGCCATCCAAGCTGAGGGCCTCCCCTGGGGTCCCTCTCTGCTCCCCATCCTTGCTCTCCTTCTGCCCCCATTCCCAATCCTGCAGAGTTTATTCCAGTTTATCGCTTACCGGCTTTTCTCCTCCAGCACGGCTCTCTGAGCTACCTGAGGTGAGAGCATTTACTCTTTGAAAAGTAAATAATAACTTCTGATTATAAAGTAATCTATGGGCCGGGTGTGGTGGCTCGCGCCTATAATCCCAGCACTTTGGGAGGCCGAGGCGGGTGGATCACCTGAGGTCAGGAGTTTGAAATCAGTCTGGCCAACATGGTGAAACCCCAGGCTGCCGCACTCCAGCCAGGTTGACAGAGTGAGACCTGTGCCTAAAAAAGAAAAAAAGGAAAAAAAAAAAAAAAGGTACATATATAATCGGCGTTATATCATTTTGGCTTATAGCTCGATCATTTTCCCAGGCTCAGATACCTGCCCTTTTCCCCCAAGTGAAGTCAGGATCACACCGAATAGCTTTGCCTCCTGCTATTTATAAACCTAATATAGACCGGGAGCAGTGGCTCACGCCTGTAATCTCAGCACTTTGGGAGGCCAAGGCGGGCAGATCACGAGGTCAGGAGATCAAGACCATCCTGGCTAACACGGTGAAACCCCGTCTCTACTAAAAATACAAATTAACCGGGCGGGGTGGCGGGCACCTGTAGTCCCAGTTACTCCGGAGGCTGAGACAGGTGAATGGCGTGAACCCGGGAGGAGGAGCTTGCAGTGAGCCGAGATTGCGCACTGCACTCCAGCCTGGGCAACAGAGCAAGACTCCATCTCAAAAAAACAAAAACCTAATATATCCTGAGCATTGCCATCACCGTCCAGCCTTGTTCCACAACAGGAATTTCAGCGGGCGGTGGTCCCGTCGCATGGATGCCCAGGTGCAGTTGTCCAGGCCGCTTTCTAGGGACCCTTAGAGGGAGGGAGGGAGATTGCCGCACTCGGCCGAACCCACGCCCCAAGGCGTCTGGTTTTCGGGGACCACGCAGGGACGGCGAGGGTGCGGCCGTTTCAAACTTTTTCTTTTTTTTGAGCTGGAGTGTCACTCTCACCCAGGCTGGAGTGCAGTGGCACAATCTCGGCTCACTGTAACCTCCGTCTCGCCGGTTCAAGCAATTATCCTGCCTCAGCCCCACCAAGTAGCTGGGATTAAAGGCGTGCGCCACCACGCCCAGCTAATTTGTGTATTTTTAGCAGAGACCGCGTTTCCCCATGTTGGCCAGGTTGGTCTCGAACTCCAAACTTCAAGTGATTCGCCCGCCTCAGGCTCCCAAAGTGCTGGGATTACAGGCGTGAGCCACTGCGCCCGGCTCGTTTCAAACTTTACATTGCTTCTTGGGACAAGAACCTCCTGAGTTTGGGACTAAGTTTGGGCAGAGGAAGGGAACGACTTCTCTCACCCCAGCCCGGCCCCAGCCCGGCACAGAGTCGGGCTCAGAGCCCGGATGTCCCCGAGGGGCGGGGCGGGGCGGGGCACTACCGCCAAATTCGGGCCACCAACGGGGTGGGCCCGAGTTCTCGCGAGAACTGGCAGGCGGCGCGCAGCTCCGGGCAGCTGCCCTTCCCGGGCCGGCGTCGGCGGCGCAGTGCGCAGGCGCGGCCGGCGCGTTTCCCCGGGCTACAGCCGTCGCCGCCGCCTGCTCGTCCGCCGCCCTGCGCCATGGCGGGCTGCGCGGCGCGGGCTCCGCCAGGCTCCGAGGCGCGTCTCAGCCTCGCTACCTTCCTGCTGGGCGCCTCGGTGCTCGCGCTGCCGCTCCTCACGCGCGCCGGCTTGCAGGGCCGCACCGGGTTGGCGCTCTACGTGGCCGGGCTCAACGCGCTGCTGCTGCTGCTCTATCGGCCGCCTCGCTACCAGGTGCAGGCCGGCGGGGGCCGGTGGGGCCTGTGGGGCGGGCGGGGGTCCGCTTGGCGCGGCGCGTGGGCACCTTTCTCCCCGGGCCCGCAGCAGCCTCCCACGCGCGCGCTCTTCACCCACGAGTTTAGGTCTCAGGAAGGGACCCTCCCTCTCCGGGCTCGGGCGCCCTGCACCCGAAGAGTGGGTGTTAAATTGCAGCTCGTGCAGCTCAGCTGGTGCGCGTGGGGTGGGAGTGAGCGAGCCCGCGAGTGCTTTTATGTAACTTAAGGTGCAGAGACCTACCTGCTGCCCTGTCTCAGGTCAAAGGCCCCGCAGTGACGTGGGTGGAGCTGGGCGCACGGGCTCGGGTGCCCAGACCTCATAAACTAGGCTTAAGCAGTTTTCCTACAGCCGTGAATAATCATCGTGAATAATAATAATAGTGGCAGCTAAAATTTAGGTAGCAGTTAGTCTTAAGTGTTTTACGTGTGTGATTCTAACCACAGTCCTAAATGGTAGGTACTGTTATCCCCTGGGTGTAGATGGGGAAGCAAGCCCAGAGAGGTTAAATAACTTGGGAGGCCACACAGCCAGAGAGAAGTGGGTGCAGAATTTGAACCCAGGTCGCCCACTTCTCCCTTTCAATCTCAGCAAATCGGCTCTATCTGCTTGCCTGTGGCCTGCCTATTCTGGGAAGGTCAGCAGCCCAGATCTGTACTCTGAGGACTGCGAGTGACTGAGCTGCTTTTGGTTCCTTTCAGATAGCCATCCGAGCTTGTTTCCTGGGGTTTGTGTTCGGCTGCGGCATGCTGCTAAGTTTTAGCCAGTCTTCTTGGAGTCACTTTGGCTGGTAAGAATTCCTTTTGGAATATTGGTTTTCAGGCGAGGGTGGACAGATCAGAGGGTCAGTAGTGGCATTTCCTCATCCCTGTCTCATCTGTGACCGGCAGAAGGCTGTTCAGGGTTCTCTGGAAACAAGTCTGGCTTCCCCCTAGTTGCTCACATTTCAGCCCTTGTGATTTCGTGCCTGTGGGTTGGTTGTGAATCAGGCAGAAGCAGATCTCCCTGGCACCCCCAAAGGCGCTGTCATCAGCAGCTGTGGTGACAGCATTCAGTAACATGAGCAGCCCTTCCCGGAAGGGGTGCAGGTCCTCGGTGGCGGGCAGGGGCAGGGCTCTGGCTTGTCTTCATAGGCCTTTTTCATCTCTAATTTCTATTAGGTCACATCTAGTGCATCCCCACAGCCATTGTAGGATTTTTCCCTACACTATGATTTCAGTCCCTTGAGCCTTCTAGTCTGACTTGGATATGAACCAGTGGCTTCAAGGTAAAAAGTTTTAAATCTCCTCTTATCAATATTTTGAGCCATCTAATCCTTTGCTGGAATTATTTCAGTTTTGTTAAATTTTGTATCCGACATACATCACTCCTTTATGTTGTTATCTCCCTCTTTCATGTTTTATTGTGTGTAGTGTCATTTTTAAAGGACAGAAGGGTCCATAATGCCTCCGTGACCTGTGGGTTTGTTTTGCCTGTGACATTCAAAAACAGTCCCTTGCTGGGTGCGGTGGCTCACGCCTGTAATCCCAGCACTTTAGGAGGCCGAGGTGGACAGATCACGAGGTCAGGAGTTCAAGACCAGCTTAGCCAACATAGTGAGGCCAGGAGTTCGAGACCAGCCTTGCCAGCATAGCAAAACCCTGTCTCTACTGAAAATACAAAAATTAGCCGGGCGTGGTGGTGGGCACCTGTAGTCTGAGCTACTTGGGAGGCTGAGGCAGGAGAATCGCTTGAACCTGGGAGGCAGAGGTTGCAGTGAGCCGAGATCGCACCATTGCACTCCAGCCTGGGTGACACAACGAGACTCTGTTTCAAAAAAAAAAAAAGACTGGAAACAAAACTAGTCCCTTAAAAACTCCACTTTTTGCAAGCCTGAGGTAGTAGATGCTGCGATGGGTACCTGTGTCCACGCTCAGACAGGTGAGAACAGGGCCTCATGGACTTAGGGACAGCTCAGGAGACCGACATCTGCACTTACGGCTAACTTGGTTCTCTTGTCCCAACTTAACTCTCTTTTTGTCTTTAAATAGGTACATGTGCTCCCTGTCATTGTTCCACTATTCTGAATACTTGGTGACAGCAGTCAATAATCCCAAAAGTCTGTCCTTGGATTCCTTTCTCCTGAATCACAGCCTGGAGTATACAGTAGCCGCTCTTTCTTCTTGGTTAGAGTTCACACTTGAAAATATCTTTTGGCCAGGTTAGTGTGCCTTATGTCCCCCTCTGGAGGGGAAAAGGGTGGCTCCCATTCAGGCTGAGGACAGTGACATTGATTCACCTTTCAAGTCTAATCTCCCCCAAGCGATTTTCCACAGACCTCTATCCTCACTAAGCTATTTATAAAGGATGAGCTCCACTCGTGAATTCTGCCTCTGGATTTTGACTCGAGGACGTGCTGACCTTTTGCTTTAAAGTTTGTATCACATAGTGCACCATCTAATGTGAAGTCCCAACCTTGGGTAGTTGTGATTCTGATTTTACAATCAGATGATATTTAGATGTTTCATGTAAGAGTTTACTGGCCAGGCATAGTAGCTCACGCCTGTAATCCCAGCACTTTGGGAGGCTGAGGTGGGTGGATCACATGAGGTCAGGAGTTTGAGACCAGCCTGACCAGCATGGTAAAACCACATCTCTACTAAAAATACAAAATTAGTCGGGCCTGGTGGTGCATGCCTGTAATCCTAGCTACTTGGGAGGCTGAGGCAGGAGAATTGCTTGAGCCCAGGAGGTGGAGGTTGCAGTGAGCCGAGATTGTGCCATTGCACTCCAGCCTGGGCAATGAGAGTGAGACGCTGTCTCAAAAAAAAAAAAAAAATTGACTAACAAAAGCCTCTGTATGTGGAATGCACTCTGAAATTGAATGTCTCACAGCCAATGAAATGAAATACATGTAGCTCCTGGGATTCAGGGTGGAAACCTTGGACCCTTCTTTTCTTCTCTTTTTTTCTTTTTTTTTTTTTTTTTGAGACGGAGTCTCGCTCTGTTGCCCAGGCTGGAGTGCAGTGGCGAGATCTCAGCTCACTGCAAGCTCTGCCTCCCGGCTTTACACCATTCTCCTGCCTCAGCCTCCCGAGTAGCTGGGACTACAGGCGCCCGCCACCTCGCCTGGCTAGTTTTTTGTATTTTTTAGTAGAGACGGGGTTTCACCGTGTTAGCCAGGATGGTCTCGATCTCCTGACCTCGTGATCTGCCCGTCTCGGCCTCCCAAAGTGCTGGGATTACAGGCTTGAGCCACCGCGCCTGGCCCTTTTCTTCTCTTAGCTGTACTTGTCCCCAAATGAAGGACTGAGCATGTGGCTGGGGGTGGTGAACCAGAGAACCCATCAGCTGTAGCAAGAGAGCATCTCTTTACCATGATGCTTTCATTGTGCTTATTGGCATTTTAAAGTAAACCGATGAACAGCACAACTTAGGAGAATGTGTTTTCTTATGAAATTTTAACGTGATGACAAATGCTGATTGCCCACGAGCACATTTTCTGTTTCTGTCTTTGGGAAAATAGGTTAATTTTAAGCAGTGCGAAGGGAAGCTCAGCCGGCCAGTGTTTTCACTCCTCGTGTGTCATCGATGTCTCTCTCCCACAGAACTGAAGCAGATCACCTGGCTCAGTGTCACAGGGCTGCTGATGGTGGTCTTCGGAGAATGTCTGAGGAAGGCGGCCATGTTTACAGCTGGCTCCAATTTCAACCACGTGGTGCAGAATGAAAAATCAGATACACATACTCTGGTGACCAGCGGAGTGTACGCTTGGTTTCGGCATCCTTCTTACGTCGGGTGGTTTTACTGGAGTATTGGAACTCAGGTATAATATTAAATATGACACCACTCCCCTTTTTTATTTTTTATTTTTTTAAGTAACATTTTAAACATTGTGATACAATTCACATACCATAAAAGTCACCATTTCGAAGTACACAATTAGTGGTTTTCAGTGTGTTCATGAGGTTGTTGGTCTCCTTTAAATAATAGGTACGTGTTCTTCTTGGCGTGTTTCAAGTGATAATTTAATAAAAGTCAAGAGAACTAATGTAGTCTGTAATGCTTTTTAGTATGTGCCCAAAAGCTGGGTGCATAAATCCTTGGTGCTGTTAGCTACCTGCTGTATCCCTTTATCCTGTTTCTGCCTGTTTTTTTTTTTTTTCTTTTTTCTTTTTTTTTCGGTAGAGACAGGGTCTTACTATGTTGCCCAGGCTGGTGTCAAACTCTTGGCCTTGAGTGATCCTCCCACCTCAGCTTTGCAAAGTGCTAGCATTATAGGCATGAGCCATTGTGCCTATCCCCTTCTCTGTCCCTTCAACCTATTAATAGATCTGAAACACCCCAGAGGGGCTGAGGACAGAGATGGCCCTTAGGGAAGGGAGTGCCCTCTACCACTCGTGTGGCAGCTTGGCTGGATTTCATCAGGAATAGGTATTAATGGGGTCGAGGCCATGTGTTAGTGAGCTGTGTGGAGCCATGTAGGTTTGTTCTGTCTCAGGTTGAAGAAAAGGCCTTGTTTCTTTCTTTTTTTTTTTTTTTGAGACCTAGTCTTGCTCTGTTGCCCAGGCCAGAGTGCAGTGGTGCGATCTTGGCTCACTGCAACCTCTGCCTCCCAAGTAGCTAGAACTGTAGGCACAAACCACCATGCCTGACTACTGTTTGTATTTTTTTTTGTAGAGACAGCGTTTCTCGAGTTGTCCAGAGCCGTCTTGAACTCCTGAGCTCAAGCAATCTGCCCTCCTGGGCCTCTCAAAGTGCTGGGATTACAGGCTTGAGCTACGGTGTCTGGCCTTTTTTTTTTTTTTTTTTTTTTGAGACGGAGTCTCGCTCTGTAGCCCAGGCTGGAGTGCAGTGGCCGGATCTCAGCTCACTGCAAGCTCCGCCTCCCGGGTTCACGCCATTCTCCTGCCTCAGCCTCCCGAGTAGCTGGGACTACAGGCGCCTGCCACCTCGCCCGGCTAGTTTTTTGTATTTCTTAGTAGAGACGGGGTTTCACCGTGTTAGCCAGGATGGTCTCGATCTCCTGACCTCGTGATCCGCCCGTCTCGGCCTCCCAAAGTGCTGGGATTACAGGCTTGAGCCACCACGCCTGGCCTTTTTTTTTTTTTTTTTTTTTTGAGACGGAGTCTCGCTTGTCGCCCAGGCTGGAGTGCAGTGGTGTGATCTCAGCTCACTGCAACCTCCACCTCCCAGGTTCAAGCGATTCTCCTGCTTCAGTCTCCTGAGTAGCTGGGACTACAGGCACCCACCACCACGGCTGGCTAATTTTTTGTATTTCTAGTAGAGACAGGGTTTGACTGTGTTAGCCAGGATGGTCTTGATCTCCTGACCTCATGATCCACCCGCCTGGGCCTCCCAAAGTGCTGGGATTACAGGTGTGAGCCACCACGCCCAGCTTTTTTTTTTTTTTAAGACAGGATGTTGCTGTGTTACCCAGGCTGGAGTGCAGTGTTGTGATCATGGCTTACTGCAGCCTTGACCTCCTGAGCTCAAGTGATCCTCCTACCTCAGCCTCCCAAGTAGCTGGAACACATTACACGTGTGTGCCACCACATCCGGCTAATTTTTAAATTTTCTGTAGAGGTGGTTCTCCCGGCTGGTTGCCTGTAATCCCAGCACTTTGGGAGGCTGAAGTGGGTGAATCACTTGAGGTTAGGAGTTTGAGACAAGCCTAGCCAACATGGCAAAAACCCATCGCTATTAAAAATACAAAAATTAATTGGGCATGGTGGCACATGTCTATAGTCCCAGCTACTCGGGAGGCCTAGACCTGAGAATTGCTTGAACCTGGGAGATGGAGGTTGCAGTGAGCTGAGACCATGCCACTGCACTTCAGTCTGGGTGATGGAGTGAGACTCTGTCTCAAAAAAAGAGATGGTTCTCCCTTTGTTGCCCATGCTGGGCTTGAACTCCTGGGCTCAAGTGATCCTCCCACCTTGGCCTTCTAAAGTGCTGGGATTAGGCCAGGCGTGGTGTCTCATGCTTACAGTTCCAGCTAGTTGAGAGACTGAGGCACGATATTTGCTTGAATCGAAGGCAGAGGTTGCAGTGAGCCGAGATCACGCCACTGCACTCCAGCCAGGGTGACACAGCAAGACTCTGTCTCAAAACAAAAAAAAAAAGAAAAAAGTGTTAGGATTATATAGGTATGAGCCACTGCACCTGACTCTCTCTCTCTCTGTGTGTGTGTGTGTGTGTGTGTGTGTGTGTGTATATATATATATATATTTTTTTTAATGTATGGTTTTTCTTTTTTTTTTTGTTTTTGAGGCAGGGTCTCTCACCCAGGCTATAGTGCGTTGGCATGATCATGGCTTACTGCAGCCTCGACCTCTTGGGCTCAAGTGATCCTCCCACCTTAGTCTCCTAAGTCTGTGTAGCCCAGGCTGGAGTGCAGTGGCACAATCTCGGCTCACTGCAACCTCCGCCTCCCGGGTTTGAGGGATTCTCCTGCCTTAGCCTTCTAAGTAGCTGAGACTACAGATGTGTGTCACTACACCCAGCTAATTTTTTTTTTTTAATTAATTTATTTTTTTGAGATGGAGTTTCGCTCTTGTTGCCCAGGCTGGAGTGCAATGGCGTGATCTCAGCTCACCGCAACCTCTGCCTCCCAGTTCAAACGATTCTCCTGCCTCAGCCTCCTGAGTAGCTGGGATTACAGGCATGCGCCACCACACCCGGCTAATTTTGTATTTTTAGTAGAGACGGGGTTTCTCCATGTTGGTCAGGCTGTTCTCGAACTCCCGACCTGAGGTGATCTGCCTGCCTTGGCCTCCCAAAGCACTGGGATTACAGGCGTGAGCCACCATGCCCAGCCCCTGGCTAATTTTTGTATTTTTATAGAAGCAGGGTTTTGCCATGTTGCCTAGGCTGTTCTCAAACTCCTGGGGTCGAGTGATCCACCCGCCTCAGCCTCCCAAAGTGCTGGGATTATAGGTGTGAGCCACCACATATATTTTTTCTTTCTTTTTTTTTGAGACAGAGTCTCACTCTGTCGCCCAGGCTGGAGTGCAGTGGCGCGATCTTGGCTCACTGCAGCCTCCACCTCCCGGGTTCAAGTGAATCTCCTGCCTCAGCACCCTGAGTAGCTGGGATTACAGGTATGCACTACCACGCCCAGCTAATTTTTTGTATTTTTTAGTAGGTTTAGTAGCGGTTTCACCATGTTGGCCAGGCTGATCTCAAACTCCTGACCTCAGATGATCTACCTGCTTCAGCCTCCCAAAGTGCTGGGATTACAGGCATGAACCACCGCACCCTGCCTGTATATTTCTTTTTTAAAATTATTACTTGGCTAGGCACAGTGGCTTTGGGAGACCAGAGCAGGAGGATTGCTAGAGGCCAGGAATTAGAAACCAGCTTGGTCAACATAGTGAGAACCCTTCTCTCCAAAGGAAAAAGTTAAAAATATATCTGGAAGTGGCTCGTGCACGTGTAATCCCAGTTACTCAGGCGGCTGCGGCAGGAGGATCGCTTTGATTGCTACTGTACCCCAGTCTGGGCAACAGAGTGAGACCCTGTCTTCCAAAATAAAATTATTTATTTGTGTATTAAAGATGAGAGCTTACCGTGTTGCCCAGGCTAGTCTCAAACTCCTGGGCTCAAGCAGCCGTCCTGCTTTCGTCTCCTGAGTAGCTGGGACTATAAGTGTGCACCACCATGCCCAGCTAATTTTTTGTTTTTAGTAGAGATGGGGTCTTACTGTTGCCCAGGCAGATCTCGAACTCCTGGGCTCAAGCAGGCCTCTCACTGCAGCCTCCCAAAATGCTGGGATTACAGGCGTGATCCACCATGCCCAACCCCAAGCCTTATTTCTTGAAAATGTTTCTTGGCCGGGCGCGGTGGCTCAAGCCTGTAATCCCAGCACTTTGGGAGGCCGAGACGGGCGGATCACGAGGTCAGGAGATCGAGACCATCCTGGCTAACACAGTGAAACCCCGTCTCTACTAAAAAATACAAAAAACTAGCCGGGCGAGGTGGCGGGCGCCTGTAGTCCCAGCTACTCGGGAGGCTGAGGCAGGAGAATGGCGTAAAGCCAGGAGGCGGAGCTTGCAGTGAGCTGAGATCCGGCCACTGCGCTCCAGCCTGGGTGACAGAGCAAGACTCTGTCTCAAAAAAAAAAAAAAAAAAAAGAAAATGTTTCTTGATTCTTTACTCTTGGTCCTAGAAAAACTTGGCCAAAGAATGTGAATACATCTTGGAAAATTCACCAAGTCTTTGGGCGAATCCAGAGATCTCTCAGGCATCCCATCAGCAATGCATAGTCCTTGGTGACTCTCTGGTGACCCCTAACGGTATAGTTGGGGCAAATTATTCCATAGCTTTTACTTTACATTTTTTGTTTCTAAAATATGTAAAACCCTCACATTAACAAGCACCTTCCCTGGGAACAAATTGGTTATGACTGAATAATGTAATTTGCCATAAATGTTTGCTTACTGTATACATATGTGCACTAGAACCAAAGGGTTTTCCATACTTTTTTGCCTATATATATATTTTTTACATTGTGCTCCAGCACTTGTGTGTGTATGAACAGAACATGTCTTTCCTAGTATAATAATTACCCTTACCATGTAAAAAACCCTGTTTTCTATCTTACTATTTGCAGGACTGTTCATGATGCACTAAATGATTTCATGGCTCAGTAACAGGCGATAGCCTGCTATCAAGAGCTCCCGCTGTAGGGTATCCCCAGCAAGCTATGCCAGATGTGAGGGTACAGGCCCTGGAGTCACTGACGGGGCCAGTCCTGATTCTGACATTCACTGCTTGGCCTCCCTCCCCTCTCACGTTAAAGTGGGGGCAGCTAGACGTAGTGGCACATGCCTGTAGTCCCCCCTACTCGGGAAGCTGAGGCGGGAGGATGGCTTGAGCCCAAGAGTTCAAGTCCAGTCTGGGCAATATAGTGAGACCCTGTCTTTAAAAAATAAAGGCTGGGTGCGGTGGCTAATGCCTGTAATCCCAGCACTTTGGGAGGCCGAGCTGGGCGGATCACAAGGTCAGGAGATCGAGACCATCCTGTGAATGGTGAAACCCTGTCTCTCTAAAAATACAAAAAATTAGCCAGGCGTGGTGGTGAGCGCCTGTAGTCCAGCTACTCGGGAGGCTGAGGCAGGAGAATGGTGTGAAGCCAGGAGGCGGAGCTTGCAGTGAGCCAAGATCGCGCCACTGCACTCCAGCCTGGGCAACAGAGTGAGACTCCTTTTCAAAAAAATAAATAAAATAAATATTTTAAAAAACAAAGTGGGGATATTAGCTTGCCCTCAAAGGTTTGCCATGAGAGTTGAACAGGGTAATGATTGTAAAGGGCTTAGCACGGCACTGGGAACACAGTAAGTGCTCAATAAGAGAAGGTGTGAGAGGTCAGGACATGAGCCTGGCTCTCCAGGTGGCTGAACTGGAGCCTAAAATGTATGTTCAGAAAACGTACAGAAAATGTATGTCGGGGAAGATGCACATCCACAGGGGACCAGTGGGCAGGAGTAGGTGAGTGGTTCCCTGAGGAGCTGGGGCATGCTTTTGGCCTTGAAGGACTGTTTGGCTGGGGATCAGTAAGAAGGATGTTCTTTTTTTTTTTTTTTTTTTTTTTTCCTTGAGAGGGAGTTTCGCTCTGTTGACCAGGCTGGAATGCAATGGCTATCTCAGCTCACTGGAACCTCTGCCTCCTGGGTTCAAGCAATTCTCCTGCCTCAGCCTCCCCAGTAGCTGGGATTATAGGCTTCCACCACTACGTCTGGCTAATTTTTGTTTTTGATAGAGACGGGGTTTTACCATGTTGGCCAAGCTTGTCTCAAACTCCTGACCTCAGGTGATCTGCCCGCCTTGGCCTCCCAAAGTACTGCAGTTAACAGACGTGAGCCACTGCACCTGGCCAGGATGTTCTTTTTTTTTTTTTTTTTGAGACGGAGTCTTGCTCTGTCCCCCAGGCTGGAGTGCAGTGGCCGGATCTCAGCTCACTGCAAGCTCCTCCTCTCGGGTTCACGCCATTCCCCTGCCTCAGCCTCCCGAGTAGCTGGGACTACAGGCACCCGCCACTTTGCCCGGCTAGTTTTTTGTATTTTTTAGTAGAGACGGGGTTTCACCGTGTTAGCCAGGATGGTCTTGATCTCCTGACCTCATGATCCGCCCGTCTCGGCCTCCCAAAGTGCTGGGATTACAGGCTTGAGCCACTGCGCCCAGCCCAGGATGTTCTTTTTTTTTTTTTTTTTTTTTTTGAGACGGAGTCTCACGCTGTTGCCCAGGCTGGAGTGCAGTGGCGCGATCTAGGCTCACTGCAAGCTCCGCCTCCTGGGTTCACGCCATTCTCCTGCCTCAGCCTCCTGAGTAGCTAGGACTACAGGCGCCCGCCACCGCGCCCGGCTAATTTTTTGTATTTTTAGTAGAGACGGGGTTTCACTGTGGTCTCGATCTCCTGACCTTGTGATCCGCCCGCCTCGGCCTCCCAAAGTGCTGGGATTACAGGCTTGAGCCACCGCGCCCGGCCTTTTAGGATGTTCTTAAAGGTGGGAGAAAGGGCCAGGAGTTCGAGACCAGCCTGGGCAACATAGTGAAACCCCAAAATACAAAAATTAGCTGGGTGTGGTGGCGCATGCCCTTAGTCCCAGCTCCTTGAGAAGCTGAGGTGGGAGGATCACTTGAGCCCAAGAAGTTAAGGCTGCAGTGAGCCATGATCACGCCACTGCACTCCACGTGGCAGAGTGAGAACCCGTCTCCAGGGAGGAGAGGGAAAAAGGTAGGAGGCAAAGTGGGCACAGCGTGGGGAAGGCAGGAGACTGGGGAAGTAGGCGAAATGCTGCTTTTCTTGGGTTGGAAACCCAGACTCAGGAGGTGGGATTGAGGCTCTGGAGCTCTCTGAGCATGGAGGTGATCTGCTGGAAGGGGCATTTCGGAAGCTCAGTTTTGTGGCCCCGTATCTCGTGCTGAAGCAGAGGCTCTGGGTTTAGGAGGCAGAGGCCCAGGCAGCTGTGGTGTAAGCAAATGCATTTGTGGTGGGAGGGTCCTGGGCAGGAAGGCAGCGTGCATGGGACCTCATGTTGGGGAGCTCACACCAGGAGGTGGGGGGCATTGCTGTCACCCCAAGCTGAGGGTTGAAATCCAAGAGGTTGATCTTGTGATTTTCAGATCTCTGTCATGTAAGAGGAGCAACAGAAAAGCACGTGAGAAAGGCCTGCAGCACTGAGTGCTTAGGGCTACGGTGACAGTACTGCTCCCAGAGACCCTGACAGTCTCAGCAGGGCATGGGCACAGAAATCCTCTGGGTATTAGAGACAGACGCCCACCAAAGCACAGGGCATCATCCCACGGTCACCCTGATGAGCCCGGTGTCTCCCTCTGTTAGGTGATGCTGTGTAACCCCATCTGCGGCGTCAGCTATGCTCTGACGGTGTGGCGATTCTTCCGCGATCGAACAGAAGAAGAAGAAATCTCACTAATTCACTTTTTTGGAGAGGAGTACCTGGAGTATAAGAAGAGGGTGCCCACAGGCCTGCCTTTCATAAAGGGGGTCAAGGTGGACCTGTGACGGGCAGTGGCTCCGGTGACCTTGGGGCCTCCAGCCCCGTGCAGCCTGGGACAAAACTGTTTCTGGTCGGCCGCTGCAACATGGATTTTCTTAATCGTTTTACATCATTAGTCACTCTTCTGGAATGTCACTCAAGACCAAGCGGTCAGAAGGCCTGAGGACCCAAGGCCCCACTGGAGCAGTCTGTCCTTATGCCGAATCAAGGCAGAACATGAGTGAAAGACGAATAAGAGGCAAATCACAGCAATATTCCACAGCGCCCTCCAGAGTGACCTGGGGAGGACCGAGGCCACACGCCACTGCCCCCGAGGCCAGAGTGTAAGTAAGGGATAACCAGGACTCCCTGGGAGAGATGGACTCTGTCCTCAGCAACACTTCCACAGCAGAGCGGGGTAGCAGGTACCCCTTCTTATCAGCATTAAAAATGCATTTACAACCTTTCATTTAACCGAAAAACACAAACCGCTTTAACCTCCTTATTTCTGTCCCTCACTGCATGAACATCTATACAATTTTAAAAATATTTCCTCATAGGATGCTTTGGCCTTTCATCTATTTAATCATAGCTACATATCTATTTTTTATAAGTAGCAGTACACATTCAAAGGGGTATTCCTAGCTCAACGCTTGGTGTTCTAGCTCAACTTTTATCCTGCAGCAAGTAAGCCTAGATACCTCCACACAATTTGGCTGAGTGGCTTTGTGTGAACGTGGCCCCAGGCCAAGGGGATCATGGCCCTGGCCGGCTTTCCTGGGGGTCTCAGCTCCTGTTGTCAGTGACAGGCGGCTCAAAGGAGCGTCCATTTCTCTTGATCCAGAAGTGCTAAGTGAATGCCTGCTCTGTGCATGGCCTTAAACATTGAGAAGTGCTGCTCTCCATTTATTTGGGATTTGATTCTCATTTTACCATAGCTTATATTCTCAATTTCAATGTCAGTCTCAGAACTCTTGTTTTATGTGTTGTGTTCTCAAATTACATTGTCCCTCATGTCATTTCAAACTGTTTTCAAAGGGATTTGAACATACACAACTACAAATCCAAGCAGACTGACTCTCAAAAATAATCTTAAATATTGCAAATAGTCCCAACCAAGATTCAGTCAATATGTTTGTTTTGCAAGTTTAGGAGAGTAGTTGGCTTTGAGTCACACATGGAAGCTTTAAGAGGTGAAACGCTGGCTTCATTCTGGACTAGACAGGAACTTGGCCTCAGCGTGAGATCCTGCCATGCAGTGTTACGGTGGCACTGAAGAAGTATGAATGTGAAGGCGTGGGCTTGGGGCCAGAGCACCACTCTGCTGCCCCACCACGCAGCTTGTGAGGAGCCACTAAACCTTTCCGTGCCTAGACCTCCCCATCTGTGGAATGGGGTCAATACCACCTACCTCACAGGGGTGTTGTGAGGACTGAGAAGAACAATGTCAAATGTTTTTAATACTTGGATGTGGGGGCGACATCAATGAAATCTGTACTGTATAAAAGCTACACAAAAATGGGCAGACATTTGGTTAATTGTACCAGATACCTAAAATGTATGTTCAGAAAAGCATTTTATCAACTCAGAGATACGACGTGTTTCTAGATTTCATGGCTTAATGAATTTTTTCATTGTTATATATACCAAAGAGGCTTACGGGTTCATTGATTACTAGTATGACAGCTGCTGGTTTGAAAACCAGACGGCCAGGCACGGTGGCTCACGCCTGTAATCCCAGCAATTTGGGAAGCCAAGGTGGGTGGATCATGAGGTCAGGAGTTCAAGACCAGCCTGGCCAACATGATAAAACCCCGTCTCTACTAAAAATACAAAAAATAGCTGGATGTGGTGGCGGGTGCCTGTAATCCCAGCTACTCAGGAGGCTGAGGCAGGAGAATCCTTTGAACCCAGGAGGCGGAGGTTGCAGTGAGCTGAGCCATTGGACTTCAGCCTGGGCAACAGGGTGAGACAAAAAAAAAAAAACAAAACCAGACAGACTTGCCCATCGGCCCTCACAACATGCATGCAGTGGGACTCTAGCCAAGGCGGTGGCCAAGCCATCAGTAACAATTTATCTGGAGTGAATGAATGATCCCCAGTGGGACCACGCATGCCTAGGGCAGCAAATTCCACTTCCTAGAACTGCAGACCGGGAGAGGATGTAGTTAGATTCTGGCAGCCCGCCCCGGCTCTTTGAGGGAAGGTTCTTTCCCCTGCTCTGAGTAGGGCGGGCCCAGCCTCCATTCCCATTGGGAGCCACGAAGTCGTCTTGTTGATAGGTGTAGGGCAGCTGTTGGCAGCCGCTGGCCTTGTGGATGGTAAGCTGACGGTGTTGGCATTTAATGCCATCCTCCATCTGCCAGAACCCAGAAAGTCCACCTTCCTGCCAGGCCCACCAGCTGGAAGGAGCCCAGGAGGCAAGTCTTAGGGTTTCACGGTGAAATGCTGCCTGACACCAGGGAAAACCTGACATTGTATTCTGCTTGAGAGAGGAATTCCAGGGGTAGGGATGGTGAGAGAACATTCCCAGCCTCTTTATAATCCCAGGGCAGCAGTCAGCAATTACTTAGGGATAAAAGATGAACTCTTTTTTTTTTTTTTTAGACGGGGTCTTGCTCTGTGGCACAGGCTGGAGGCTGGAGTGCAGTGGCACCATCTCGGCTCACCACAACCTCCGCCTCCCGGGTTCAAGCGATTTTCCTGCCTCAGCCTCCTGAGTAGCTGGGATTACAGGCTTAAGACACCATGCCCGGCTCTTTTTTCGAGACGGAGTCTCACATTGTCGCCCAGTGGAATGGCACTATCTCCACCCACTGCAACTTCTGCCTCCCGAGTTCAAGCGATTCTCCTGCCTCACCTCCCAAGCAGCTGGGATTACAGGCATGTGCCACCATGCCCGGCTAGTTTTTTGTATTTTTAGTAGAGACGGAGTTTCACCATCTTGGCCAGACTGGTCTCGAACTCCTGACCTCATGATCTGCCTGCCTCGGCCTCCCAAAGTGCTGGGATTATAGGCGTGAGCCACCACGCCTGGCCAAGATGAACTCCTTAAGGGCAGGATTTGGTAAGTGATTGACTTCTGTTTAGTTCTGTGATCTTGAGATTATTTTTAGCTTTATAAATTTAGCAGTGGCAGGGCCCGCAGAGAATCAGGTTAGTGCGGTAAAGGCCACATCACCAATTTTCTCAATTTAAAAAACTGTCAAGAGATTTATTTTTCCATTGCAGGTTTTAAAGTGGAGATTCTTAAGTGGAAAATAGGTACTGCTCAGAACAAAGCTACTTGGAAACAGCACAACATGAAGCCTTTCGTGAGGGCTTGCAGGCCGCTGCTGAGTGGCAGTTTACAGAAGAGGTCGCGGGGTGAGCCTCTTAGGACAGAAAACAGAAGGCAGCAGTGCACCTGCCACCCCTTTGTTGGTGCGAGCTGCTCCTTGAGCCTAAAAAGTAGGCTTTATTCATCCCTTCTGTTCATTTACCAACCTGGGGGATTGATATGACCAGGGAAAACATTCCTAAACCAGGAAGCTGCACTAGCCGATCAGGCTTGGTAAGGTCTCGGCCACAGCTGGCTGCTAGGAGTACCCCCACGATAGGCACAGCACACCACTGTCCCTTCGCTGCACTTTCTTCCTGCCTTAGGTAGGTGGGCTTGCCCACCATAGTTTGCTTTTGTCGTGGTTTGGCAAGGTTAGAAGACCTCGACCTCTCTGTCTTGCTGGGAAGTGCTTACTCTCTGGGCCACTGCTGCAGAAGACGTGGTACTTGTCATGGGTTTGGAAGACACAGCCATCTGCAGTAGAGGCAGCCTATCCCATTGCAAGGAGAGGAACTTAATGGAGTAATTATTCTACTCTTCTTTTTACATACAGAAATGTTTATTTAAATATTCTAAATTGGATTTTCTTTCACAGATACTGATTATTCTTTCGAGTTCTTAAATAAAACGGCACTTGATTTCACTCAACCACAGTGTGATTGTGTGGGATGTGAAACTCTGAGGTCACTCTTGGGTAAGAGGTGTCTTAAGCCTTCAGCCTCAAACCACATGTGTTTTGCCTCCTCAATTTCTTTCTGAATTCCTACCTCTAACCAGTTGTAATGATAATTCCTTTTGCCCTACAGGCCACCACATAGGTTTGTAAGGCCTTGGAACAGGAGCCTCAGTGCCCTGAAGTAGCAGGTGCAGGGGCAGTGGACGTTGATGTGAGTGATGTGTTATGTGTTGAATGTGCTGCTATGTTAGCATGTAGACCCATTTACTGTTAATCACTGAATCAAGCTGGATATTTGCTTAAATGTGACTATCTGGGCATCGTTTTGCCACAAAAACTTTTAAAAGTTTAGGTCACATGGGTTAATTTTTAACAAGCAGTTATTAAGCTCCTCTAAATGGAAAGGGTACTGTGGAGAAATGGAAAACTGCTTGGAAAAAACTACTAGAAAAAAGGTTGTTCTTACCCAGTGCTTTGCTATCAACAGAAGGTGGATGCAGGAGAGCTGCAGGAGTTTGGGAAAGCAGTGAAGTAACTGAGACCATCTGCTACGTAAGCTGGCCAGGTGCTAACCCCTGGCTTTAGGAGCTCTGCCCTTGCTGGAAAGGGAGAGAAGCTGGAGCAAAGGTTCCTCATCCTTCCGTGAGTCACTGCTCAGATTACCGGGTGGAACTTTCCAGTAGCACCAGGTTAACAGTGGGACTGTAATTCCGGAGGAACTGGATTCCTTTGCGATAGGGCAGGTGCTACTCAGCGGTGGAGTCTTGTAACCTAACACTCAAACCGGCACACCCCGACGGACTACACTGCCCAGCACAGGGTCTAACACACAGATGCTTGGTGTGTAGGTGTGGAACAAGCGAGGGATTTCTTGCTGGATGGCCACTCCCTCATGTTTTCCATGTGGACTGGGAGTCATCCCAAGCTACTGTGACAAGGACAAAGACTTCGTGCCTTGCAAACATGGGGAAAAGCAAAACTGCCCAAACCAAAGAACCTGAAATTAGGGCCTGTCAGAGTCTCTGGGTTTTATTATTGACAAATGATTACCTTTTAAAGAAATAACCAGCCGGGTATGGTGGCTCACCCCTGTAATCCCAGCACTTTGGGAGGCCAAGGCGGGTGGATCACCTGAGGTCAGGAGTTCGAGAACAGCCTGACCAACATGGAGAAACCCTGTCTCTACTAAAAATACAAAAAATTAGCCGGGAGTGGTGGCACATGCCTGTAATCCCAGCTACTCGGGAGGCTGAGGTAGGAGAATTGCTTGAACCCGGGAGGCAGAGGTTGTGGTGAGCCAGAGATCGTGCCATTGCACTCCAGCCTGGGCAACAAAGTGAAATTCTGTCTTAAAAAAAAAAAAAATTGGCCAGACACAGTGGCTCACTCCTGTAATCCTAGCACTTTGGGAGGCTGAGACAGGTGGATCACCTGAGGTCTGGAGTTCGAGACCAGCTTGGCCAACATGGTGAAACCCCATCTCTACTAAAAATACAAAAAATTAGCGGGGCATGGTGGCAGGCACCTGTAATCCCAGCTACTCGCGAGGCTGTGGCAGGAGAATCACTTGAACCCAGGAGACAGAGGTTGCAGGGAGCCGAGATTGCACCATTACACTCCAGCCTGGGCAACGAAGAGCGAAACTCCATCTCAAAAAAAAAATTTTAAAAACAATGGGAACAACCTTCTCTCCAGTGTCCCAGTCTTGTGCCTGCTCTAAAAGCCTGACCCTGGGGACCTGTCCCATTTGCTAAGTCAGGTGTTCCCTCCATGTGGGGATGTCACCCCTGTTTTTCTGTTTGGATCTGTGATGATCCTTATTTTTGAGTAGAGGCTCTTCCGAGAGGCCGTTCGGAGCCCAGCTGTTTCCTTTAGGCTCTGACGTCTTCTCTCTCTTTTCCGGGACACTTCCTGGGTTATTCCTAAAGGGACAGCCTCATGTGAGCCCAGCCCGCTCCCCCATTTCACCGTATCCCTGCACTAAAATCCACTTGGGCGAAAGCTCTCAGAATGGCACGTCTTCCTGGAAGGCCTCACTGAGTGACCATGGTTCAGCTTCAGAACCAGGAAGGCTCTGTCTCCGAAAGGATCTTGTCTACTGAGTAGGAGCTGGTCCCCAGGGACGGCTGTGAGTTGCTGAACCATCAGGCTGTGTCAGTGGTTTCTGGTGACATTGCATTTTGAATTTGGAAGCATCTGAGCTAATAAATGGCAGCTGTGCAGGGGAGGCTGGGGCCAGACTCTGCTCTATCACCAGCCACGCTGTGACTCTGGCCACTTCAGCAACCCTCTGTACACCCCTAGGCTCTTCCAATTCTGATTCTACAGTGCTGTCCTCTGCCCTGTGACTGACTACGTTTTCCGGAGACCAAAATACACAAAGATCAGCCTGTGACTGTGTCGTAGGTGTTACTGCACAGCCGTCTCTTCCTCTGGCAGGTATTGGGGTGCACACTGTGGCTCTGGGGAACAGTCCTCAGTCATTTTCTCATTTCAGTGACCCGAGTCCCCTAGCGTCAGCATGTGCAGCTCCTAGTGGTGAAACTGGAAGCAGGCAGCAGCCACGGCTGTTTATAATGGTAAAATGGGGTCGTGTCTATCAAAGTAACACCTGTTTTATCTATGAGGTCCCTTGTTTAAGTTACTCATCTGGGCTGAGAGCCTCTCTGACCCCTTGTTTTACAAAGAGGCCCAGGCAGGGTCCCAGAGCTGGAGCCAGAGGGGAAAAGCCTGGAGTTTCCTTTGTCATCCTGTTGGCCTCAGAAGCCACATCGCATGCCCGCTCTCTGGTGGAGAGACTCGCTTTACCTGGCTGAGGCCGCGCTGTTCCTGCTGTCGTCGTGCGTGTTTTGTAGACTCTCTGACTGCTCATCCACGGGTGCCTGAAACCTGGCAAGAGAGTGGGCACCAGAATCTCAAGGGAGCAGAGCCAGCTGCTGCATGGCCTTAAGCTCAGAAACCTCAGAACCAAACTCTGCCACCACTCATGCACCCACCTAGCGTTTCATTCTTTTGCTCCTCAAATATTTACTAAGGTCCAGCGGTTGGCGAGGGCCAGGCCCTGCCCTCATGGAAGCTGTGTGTTGGTCGGGGCAGACACGCTGAGGGAGGGAAAGGTGTGTGGTACAGGGCGCCAGGGGGACCTGCCTTAATCCAGGTGGAGTGGGGAAGGCCTCTGCAAGAGTACTCCCTTGTGCTCAGAGCTTCCAATCTGCCTCATGGCTCCAACCCTGCCCCACTCCTAATATGAGCAGATACTCAAGGGGTGACCTGACATCTGAGAAAAACCTTCAGCCTGGAAGACAGAAACCTACACAGGCTTAGAGGGCGTGGTGGCGCACACCTGTAATCCCAGCTACTCTGGAGGCTGAGGCACAAGAATCGATCGAACTTGGGAGGTGGAGGCTGCAGTGAGCTGAGATTGGCACCATTCCACTCCAGCCTGGGCGACAGAGCGAGACTGTCTCAAACAAAGACCTTCACAAGCAAAAAGCAACTGGGAGGAAACACTTCAGGGAGAAAATTTCCAAAAGGAAAAAAACCGTCGGCCTCAGAGGGGTAAGATATTGTGTCCATGAAACACCAGGATACCATCAAAAGAAACAGGGTACAGAAGGAGCTGTTGGAAATGCAAAACAAGATAGCAGAAATGAACTACTTAATGGAAGATAAAGATGCCTGGCACGGTGGCTTACGCCTGTAATCCCAGCATTTTGGGAGGCTGAGGCGGGAGGATCACTTGAGCCCAGGAATTTCTTTTTTTTTTTTTTTTTTTTTTGAGACAGAGTCTTGCTCTGTGCTCCAGGCTGGAGTGCAGTGGCGCGATCTCGGCTCACTGCAAGCTCCGTCCCCCCGGGTTCACGCCATTCTCCTGCCTCAGCCTCCCGAGTAGCTTGGACTACAGGCGCCCGCCACCTCGCCCGGCTAATTTTCTTGTATTTTTTTTAGTAGAGACGGGGTTTCACCGTGTTAGCCAGGATGGTCTCGATCTCCTGACCTCGTGATCCGCCCGTCTCGGCCTCCCAAAGTGCTGGGATTACAGGCTTGAGCCACCGCGCCCGGCCGAGCCCAGGAATTTCAAAACCAGCTTGGGCAACATGGCAAGACCCCATCTCAAAAAAAAAAAAAAAAAAAAGGGCCGGGCGCGGTGGCTCACACCTGTAATCCCAGCACTTTGGGAGGCCGAGGAGGGCAGATCACCTGAGGTCGGGAGTTCAAGACCAACCTGACCAACATGGAGAAACCCCGTCTTTACTAAAAATACAAAATTAGCCGGGTGTGGTGGCACAAGCCTGTAATCCCCCCCGCTCAGGAGGCTAAGGCAGAAGAATAGCTTGAACCAAGTAGGCGGAGGTTGCGGTGAGCCAAGATCGCACCATTTCTCTCCAGCCTGGGCAACAAGAGTGAAACTCCATCCAAAAAAAAAAGGGAAATGGGACAGAAAAGGTAAATTAGAGGGCCAGCCCAGGGGAGCCAATCTCCAACAACAGAAATTTCAAAAAGAAAAAGTGAAGAAATCAACAAATTGAAAAAGAGGCTGGGAGCAGTGGCTCATGCCTATAATCCCAGCACTTTGGGAGGGCAAGGCGGACGGATCACGAGGTCAGGAGATCAAGACCATCCTGGCCAACATAGTGAAACCCCTGTCTCTACTAAAATACAAAAAAAAAGGCCGGGCACGGTGGCTCACGCCTGTAATTCCAGCACTTTGGGAAGCCAAGGTGGGCGGATCACGAGGTCAGGAGATCGAGACCATCCTGGCAAACACGGTGAAACCCTGTCTCTATTAAAAATACAAAAAATTAGCTGGGCACGGTAGCGGGCGCCTGTGGTCCCAGCTACTTGGGAGGCTGAGGCAGGAGAATGGCGTGAACCCGGGAGGCGGAGCTTGCAGTGAGCTGAGATCGCGCCACTGCACTCCAGCCTGGACGACAGAGCGAGGCTCCGTCTCAAAAAAAAAGAAAGAAAAGAAATATTCCAGCCTGGCGAACTTGCCAAAACTCCATCTCTACTAAAAATACAAAAATTAGCAAGGTGTGAAAAAAAAAAAAGAAAAAAAAAAAAATTAGCAAGGTGTGTTGGCACGCACCTGTAATCCCAGCTACTCCGGAGGCTGAGGCAGGAGAATCATTTGAACCCCGGAGGCGGAGGTTGCAGTGAGCCAAGATCACGCCACTGCACTCCAGCCTTGGCGACAGAGCGAGACTCCATCTCAAAAAGAAAGAAAGAAAAAAGAAATATGCCAGAACTGAAGATCATGAATTTTCAGGTTGAAAGGGCCTGCCAGTATCCAACCTAATGGATGGAAATAGACTCTCACCAAAGTGAAATCTCAGAACACTGGGAGCAAAGAGAAGATTCTACAAGCTTCCACAGAGAATTAGTAGGTCGCATTACAAGGGTAGGAGTCTGAGCGCCTTCAGACTTCATGAACAACAACCATGGAAGCTAGAAGACAAGAGAGCGAGAGAATGATGCCTTTGAAGGAGAATCCTTCCCAATCTAGAATTTCCAATCTAGAATTTGATACCCAGTGAAACTGTCAAGTGTGAAGCTAGAATGGAGGCATTGTCAGACCCAGCCACCCCAAACACGCACCTCCTTCGCACTCTTTCTCAAGAAGTTACCAGGAGGTGGGCTCCCCCAAAACCTGACAGGCACTTCACCACACGGGTGGTGAAGGGAGAGCCCAGGCTCCAGTCATTCCCTAGACCTACAGGGCAACCAGTCTACCCTGGGGCCCAGTGACTCAGAGACGGGAACACTGAAGACTTGCCACCAAGATCCCTCTGACACTGGAACCCCGGTGATGCCTGAGTACAGTGCTGAGAGAGCCTGGTCAGGACTCTGCACAGGCTTGGCCTGTCTTGCATTGATGAAGTTCCTGCCCTCTCCTCCATGTCCTGCCGCCTGGATCAGCCCAGTAGGACCCTCGTGACACCCTTAGGAAGTGCCTTCTGCTTTCACCTACTCTTGAGGGTTGGAGGGACCAACTATGATCCTAAAAGCAGAAACTCAGAGCAGCCCACTCACTGTGACCACGCTTTTGCAAATGTCCGGCACCTGGTCCGCCCAGATGCCCAGCTGAACCTGCATGACCTGGCCAGCTGACTTCCCTGAACGGGATCCTGTGGGTGTGGCACCTTTCCCACGCATTTTTTTTTTTTTTTTGAGACAAGGTCTCACCGTGTCGCCCAGGCTGTAATGCAGTAGCGTGACCTCAACTCACTGCAACCTCTGCCTCCACCTCCCAGGTTCAAGCAATTCTCGTGGCTCAGCCTCCCCAGTAGCTGGGATTACAGGCATGAGCCACCATGCATGACTAATTTTTGTATTTTTAGTCGAGATGGGGTTCCACCATGTTGGCCAGTCTGGTCTGGAACTGCTGACCTCAGGTAATCTGCCCACCTCAGCCTCCCAAAGTGCTAGGATTACAGGCGTGAGCCACCGCACCCAGTCCCCAAGCACATTCTGAAGAGTCTCAGTGGCCCTGGGAACACCCCTTGGCCTCACCTGGGCTCCAGCCGCTCCTTCACCTTGGCAATGGAGCGGACGTAGGGCGTGATCTGCTTGGTGATGGTGGTCAGGTAGGCATTCTCCTGCCTCAGCTGGAGAAGGTCATGGAGCTGGGCTGTGGGGCCAAGGCCAGAGCATGCGGTCTTAATCCTGAAGCACCTGGCTTCAGGTTTTTTTTTTTTTTTTTTTTTTTTTTGAGACAGGGTCTTGCTCTGTCACCCAGGCTGGAGTGCAGTGGCCGGATCTCAGCTCACTGCAAGCTCCGCCTCCCGGGTTCACGCCATTCTCCTGCCTCAGCCTCCCGAGTAGCTGGGACTACAGGCGCCCGCCACCTCGCCCGGCTAGTTTTTTGTATTTTTTAGTAGAGACGGGGTTTCACCGGGTTCGCCAGGATGGTCTCGATCTCCTGACCTTGTGATCCGCCCGTCTCGGCCTCCCAAAGTGCTGGGATTACAGGCTTGAGCCACCGCGCCCGGCCCAGGTTTTCACTCAAGCCAGGCACCATCTAAATATCCCGACCATTTCCATGGTGACCTCTAATTAAAGAGTGAGGCACTTGGTGGGGGCATTCTTCTCAATGAGTCCTGACCCCACATGCATCATTTGGGGCCGGTTAGCAGCTGGGAGGCACAGTCAAGCGCTAAGGTGAGGAGTGTGGGGATTTGCATCTGGTTAGTGGCCGACCCTGACTTCCTCCCCTGCTAGCATGTGGGTTAGCTCGGGGACAGGGGGTTCACTCAGCAGCCAACTTCCTGGAACCTTCATAAATCTCCTGCTCATTAGCCACTTGCTGATAGGATTCCTCCCAAATCTGAAAGAGAAAAGCTGGACATTGGATGTGGCAGTGAGCTGGAATTTACAGTGGTGGCACTGCTATCTCTAGCTACTCGGATCTACAAAGCACCCCCCAGCCAGGTCCACGTGATTCCAAGCAGCAAAGACTCCCAGGCTCCAGACCCTGCCACATGAGAGTCCTATAGGGCACAAGCCAGGTCCTCTTTCCCTGCTTACTGTTGGGGTAGCCCAGGTGTCCCCTGACAGGTGGGACTGGAGTTAGAGTCTTTGGGAGGGCTACCTCCTGGAAGACGACCCTCATGCCCTCTAAGGAGGTGTGCTCCGAGGCGATCTGCACGTCCAGTTGCAGGGACTTGCTCAGGACGTCTCCCATGATCTCCGCCTTGATGAGCGAGTGGTGCTTGGTGAGGTCTCGGTGCAGCTCCTGTACCTGGTCCTTGAGGCCCTGCATCTCCGCCTGCAGATGCTGCCCAGAGGGGCCGTGTGAGAGCGTGGGTCACCCTGGGCTGTTTTTACTGCCAGAGACTCGGTGGAGGAATCGCTCCCAGGTTCAGCAGCTGGGACAACTCAATTTTCCTGAGCGTACCTTGGTGAGGAGTGGGTTAGGACATTTCCCCCCCGCAGATCCCTGCCCGCTCACCCTGTAGGTGTCCTCATAGTGGCGGCAGTGCTCTGTGAAAGGCGTGTTCTTGCCCTCTGCCAGCAGCACCTTGGTGCTGATGGACCGGTGCAGCGTAGGCTTTTGGACGGGTGACCCGGACATCTTTCCTACTGGGGAGGGGCAGTGGGGCCCCGTCAGCACCTTGGGGCCTAAGCCCCCTGCCAGCCTGAGGAGAGAGCCAGTGTGGATGCAGGGGGTTGCAGAAGTCTGCCCCTCCCCTGGACTGTTCCGGGCTCTCACAGCCCTCTCCACCACCTGGAGCACAGCAGAGCCACCAGGAGCTTTGAAAAGCCTGGGGCAAGGCCTCACCCGGACATCCACATCTATTTTTTTTTTTTTTTTTTGAGACGGAGTCTCGATCCGCGCCCAGGCTGGAGTGCAGTGGCGAGATCTCGGCTCACTGCAAGCTCCGCCTCCCGGGTTCACGCCATTCTCCTGCCTCAGCCTCTGGAGTAGCTGGGACTACAGGCGCCCGCCACCTCGCCCGGCTAGTTTTTTTGTATTTTTAGTAGAGACGGGGTTTCACCGTGTTAGCCAGGATGGTCTTGATCTGACCTTGTGATCCACCCGCCTCGGCCTCCCAAAGTGCTGGGATTACAGGCATGAGCCACTGCGCCCGGCCCCATCCACATCTGTTTTTTAAAGTCCCTGGGGTGGGTTCCAGGGTGTGGGGCCAAGAGCAAGTCCATCGGAATGCTGCCAGGGCTAGGACCGAGTGAGTGGTGTGTTCACTTCTATGCTGGACACAGGAAGTGCGGGCCCAGTCTCTCTTAGTCTTTGGGGCCCCTGGGCACACACATGCTGTTTCAGCATTTCTCCTAACTCCTCCCCAGATGAGTCCAGGAATCAGGCCCCCTATGACTTCAGGCCACCTAGGTGGCGGTTAGCCCAGCCCCAGGTGCCCCACCCCAGGGGAGGCTGCAGTGGCGGTTGGGGGCCTGAGTCCTCCCCTTCTCCTTTAGCGGAGCTCCGAGTCAGGTCTGCCATGGACTTCAGATCCAGAGCTTCCTGCTCCCCTACTTAGAGGACTCGCCCTGGCCACCCCCTGTGCCTAGACACTGTGCTGGGAGGGTGTCGAGCTGGAGGAAGGAAGGGTGGCACCTGGCTTTTCCCTGGTAATCTGGCCTCTCAGCACCCACCCTCCCCCACACCTCAGTGTTGGGGACCTTGTGCCTGGCCTCCCCAGTTGCCGCTCACATGTTAGCACCACTTGCAGCAGCTGTCACCCGACGTGGCCCCAGCAGCAGCAGCGGCTCCAGGCAGCGCGCGAACTCGGCTCGGTGGTCACTGGCAATCTGGGCAGCAGGATGGGGTCAGGAGGTGGCCTCCACTGCCTTGCGGGTCCCCCGACCCTGGCCCACCCAGGCCACTGCACACCTTGCTGCTCCGCACAGGCCTTAGGCGGTACGGCCGCGTGACGATGCCCTGCAGCCTCTCCATCAGCTCCTGTGGTAGTGAGGAGGGCCTCAGGCCGGTGGAGGTGTGGCAGCCGGGGGCAGGAAGAGGGGAGATGGAGGCGAAACACATCTGTCTTTGGCACTTGACTTGGTGTCCCTTAGCGGTGCCCGCCCTCTTCTGGGACTCATCCAGACAAACCCCCCACCCCATCCGCAAATCCATAGGAGAGGGGGCGGCTGGACTCTAGTGGTCACTCCACCCCATGGGGGACTGGAGGCTCATGACCCCTTCCTGGCTTCCCTGTCCTTGTAACAGTGGCCCTAACTGGTTTGCAGATGATGGAGTTGGGAGGGGGTCAGTCCCGAGACCCCTGGACCAGGCTCCAGGTGACAGGCTGCCCACTCCTGAGTTGGTGGCTTTGGTCTACAGGGTGGGCTCCTGGTGGAGAGGGGGCATCTGCAGGAGCAGAGGAGACTCACATAGCCCAGGTCCAGGAACTCAGCCTTGGTGGCCAAGCTGAGGAAGGAGGAACAGATGACCAGGTGGACCTGGGGGAGGAGACGCTGCTCAGTGCCTGGCCGGGGAGGAGGGACCCACCCGCACCCCAAGCTCCCTGTACCTGCAGGGTGGGCAGCAAGGTGGCCAAGTGAGAGAGCTGCTCCTTGAAGGCCTTGTCCTTCTCTTCGTATTGGCTGGGGGAAGGAGGCTGCCTGGTCTCCAGGGGGCCAGGAGCAGGGACAGGCATTTCCATCCCCCCAGCCATCTTCGCATGTCCGTCCCCGAACCCCTTCTCTGCACCCTGAGCCATGCTGCCCTCCTTAGCTGGGAGGACATTTGGATGTCTTGCTCCTCAGGGTGGAATGCCCAGGTTCGGAGCTGAGGGCATGGAGGCCAAGGGGTTTCAAAGGAAACAAGCCCCCCTCCCCCAACTCACCTCTGCACAGCCTGCAGCAGCACCGCTTTCCTCTCTGCCAGCCTGTCCTGGGAGAGATGGCGAGCATGCTCTTGATTTGTGCCCCAGCCCTGCCACCTCCCACCATGCCTACCCCCCGGACCCCCGCCACCTGCTGGTTACGCTAGGTATCTCTCCAACCTACCAGCCCTGCATCCACTGCCTGAGGGCTTGGGTCCTCTCACCCTAAATGTCACCTCCCCAGGGAAGTCTTTCCTGACCACCTCACATCCCCACCACCAGCCTGGAGCAGGCCCTGGTTTCCCCTCCCAGTTGTCCTAGCAACTCCAGGAAAGTGCTTGGTGCAAGGCCTGCTGCCCCACTACGCTGGAAATCCACAAGGCCTAGGGACCGGCCCTGTGTCGCCAGTTCCCGGCTGGGTCGTTTATTCCCCAACCCCCACCCCTCACCTGCATGCTGCCGAAGAGGGCGTGGATAGCGTTCTCCTCCTCCGCAGCGCTGTGCCGCACCTCCTCCACCATGGCCTGCAGCAGCGCGATGGCCTCCCGCGTGGCAGTCTGCAGGGCCTTCACGGCCTGGGGACAGGGCGGGGTCAGGCTCGCGAGCGCCGCCGCGCGGCCCCACACCCCTGCCCCCGCGCGCCAGACCCCTGCGCTCACCAGCACCGCCTGCTCCAGCCGCTCACAGCCCTGCACGTAAGCCGATTCCAGGTCCACGCAGTGCGCCCGGCTCTCCCTGCGGGAGGCGGCGGGTGAGGCCCGCTCCGGCCGCCCCCAGCCCCCTCCCCTCGCGTCCCCGCTACGCACCCCTGCATGTCGCGGAAGCAACGGATGCACAACAGCAACTTCTTGTCGGTGGAGAACAGGAGGTAGGGCTCTGCGTGCAGCGCTGCGGGGGCAGCGGGCGGTGGTGAGGGCTCCGGGCAGTGCCCGCCCTGTTCCCACCCCCAGGTCCCCGGTCCCGCAAACCTCACTCACTGCACTTCTGGGGCACGTCGCGGCTTCGCTGACCCAGGGCCACGATGTCGTGGCGCGCGAACATGCGTGCTCGGTGCGTCTCATCGCGGCAGCGCGCGCACAGGGGCTGTCCGCACGTGTTGCAGAAGTACGTGGTCTCCACGTCCTGCGGACCGAGCGCGGGCTCAGGAGCGCCAGAGCCCGACCGCGGCCGGCGCGGGAACCGCAGCCGCCGGGTGTCATTGCGCGTGTTTGTCCCAGCCGTGGCGGAGTGCGCGGCTAAACGCAGCTCTTTCCTGTAATCTAGGCACTTGGCGTTCTGATATACCCGGTTTACAGATGAGGGCACTGCGGCTCAGAGGCTGATTAAGTAGGTCCGTGGAGTGGGGTGGGGGACAGGAAGAGAGGGCAGAAACTGCCTTTATAAAACATTTCACCGAGGCGGGGTGTGGTGGCTCACGCCTGTAATCCCAACAATTTGGGAGGCCGAGGCGGGCGGATCACCTGAGGTCAGGAGCTGGAGATCAGCCTGGCCAACGTGGCAAAAGTCTGTCTCTAATAAAAATACAAAAATTAGCCGGGCATGGTGGCGGGTGCCTGAAGTCCCAGCTCCTCAGGAGGCTGAGGCAGAAGAATCACTTGAACCCGGGAGGTGGAGGTTGCAGTGAGTCAAGTTGGCGCCACTGCACTCAAGCCTGGGCAATAAAGCAAGACTCCGTCTCAAAAAAAAAAAAAAAAAAAACATATATATATATATATATTTTTACCTGCAACAAAAGGGGTGTGAAGGCCTCTCACGGCCCTCTTGGCACACTCAATAGTGGCCAAAAGGTGGTGAACACCCTGGCAGTCTGGAGTCACACCTGGGCGGGGGAGGGGAAGAGCAGTGAGAGCTTTAAGGTTCTCCTCCCCAAGCCAGACCCAGGGCTGGAGTCCAGGGCTTGGCTTGCAGCCCTGGTATGGGCACATGCAATGGTTGACATAACAGGCCCTACCTGCAGTCCCTACCTCTTGCTAATCCTCTCTGTACCTCTGGGTCACACATTTCTCAGCACTTGCCCTGAAGGCTGGAGCTTTTGCCCTGGTCGGGCCGTCCTCCTGGGATTCCCAATACATTTTCTGGTCTCCACAGGCCAGAGTCCCCCGTGCCCTTTACAGCCCAGAGGGAACAGCATGCTGTCCCCATCTCCCCTGGGCTGTAGCTGCTTCTATGCCACTTGGGTAGCAGAGGCCCTTCAGGGTCGGCCCAGGCCTGCAAACTGGACTGCCCTTCCTGTGCAGGTCCACAACTCCACCCTGAATTGGGGATCAGTGAGTTCTCCCCAGATCGAACGGCCTTAGCTCCTGCCACTGTCTGGGCACTGGCTCAAGTCCCTTGTTCTGGACCTCAGTCTCCCCACTGGCATAAAGGGGTTCACATTCGGGGCCAACATGCCCTAGGGAGGTGCTGGAGAATCCACCGCCAGGTCATCCTCTGAAGATATGCTGGGTGCATGTGCAAGCATTGGGGACTGTGTAATCTGGTACCCTCTACTCCTCACCCGCCCGCCCCGCCGCCCCTGCCTGCTCGCTGCACTCCAGGTCACAGTTGGCACAGCGCACCGCCTCCACGCCATCCCCCGAGCTGTCCACCAGGAACTGCAGCAGCCGGTCCACCGGTGGGAGCCCGCTAGGACCCTTCACCACCGTCTGGTGTCTGCAGAGAAGCCCAGGCCCTGAGATTCTGACACCCCTTCCCCAAGGCTCCCCACCCCCGCCCCTCACATTCCAGGCTGGAGCTACAAATAGCTGTGTTGGGAGGTGGGGTGCACCACAGCTCTGGGGTTTGCTATAAATATCACAGCCAGTGCTCACCCTGCCCTGGTCCCTACCCTTGCCCAGTCCTGGGCACTCCTGCAGACAGTGGGGTTGGTGCCCCTAGTATCAAAAGCAGAAGCTGCCCCTTGGCATCCTCTCACAACATTGGGCAAATTAGAGCCACTCCTGGGTTCCTTGAGTCCACATAACTGTAACTGTGTTTTGTGGACCTAAGACTTCTAAGACCCAAAGCGAGTTACTGGGAGTGTCTTGACCAGTGCTGGAGCCCCACCCCTACCCCCTAACTTTTGATGGGAGGTCTTGGGCCAGTAACTGCAATCTCCAGGCCTCAGTTAAGCTGATCTATAAAATGGGCTGAAGCCTGCAACTTCTGGCCAGGAGAGCTAAGGACTGGGTGCAGCATCTCCCAGTCGTTCTGCCTGAAGTTGGAGCCTTACTCTCCTGGCACCTGGGTCCCAGCTCGGGCAGAGCCAACCTTGGGCTGCGGGGATGGGGTCTGGGGGGTCTTTGGGAACTTTGGGACACTTACTGGCACAATGGGCAGGTGAGGCGGCCTTCAGTCGCGCGGCCACGCAGGCAGCCGGCGCAGAAGTCGTGGAAGCAGTCCAGAAGACACGGGCGCTCGTACTGCACGTGGCACAGCGGGCACACCAGCGGGTGGACGTTCGGGGCGTCCAGGGAGCTCGGGCCCTCCAGGGGCCCGAAGATAGCTCCCGACATCTGCAGGGACAGCACAGGCGGGCGGCTGGGGCGCGCACGGAGCCCCGCTTGAACTCCCGCGGTCCCTCTGCCCGGTCGCCCGCGCCCTCCCTGTTGCGTCTGGACCCGACGGGGCGTCCAGAGGTCATGGAGTGGGGAGCCGCTAGGGCCCGGGTTAGGGCTGGGGCCTGGAGCGCCCCGGCGCAGGGAGAACGGGCAGTGAGGACTAGCGAGGGGAGGGGCCCTGTACCTACCCGCTAGGCCGCTTTACTGGGAGCTACCCGCCCTCCGAGCTTCTCCCCCACGGTCCAGCGCTCCTAGTGCGGCTCCGAGCCGCGCTCTGAGACCCCGCGCTGTCGCTCTGCCGAGGAGTTGCCGGCCCTGGAAGGTCAGGCTCGCACCGGGCGATGGTTCCTATCCTACGCGGGGCCTCGCTCTGCCCTGGCCTCTCCTACCTCTCCTCACTCCCACCCTCGGAATTCCCCGCCGGCTGTCCTCTGGGTGACCCGCAGGAGACGCCCCTTCCGGCATCCACCTTCCCCAGGGTGGCTGCTGCCTTACGGCGCGGCGGGGCCGAACCGACCTCGGCGCTCGCCATCTGCTTTGCGCTCTGGTTCCGGCCCGGCTACTCCATCCCCAGCCCGCAGGGAGGAGAAGCTAGGACGCCAAGGCTCCAGGGACGGTGCCAGGCAAGGGTGAAAGGGTCGGACTGGCCCCTGCCCGGGATAACAGAGTCCCGAGCCCCAAGACCAGAGCGCTGCGCAGAGCAGGGCCAGAGGACCTTGGCTGCGGGGTCTTCAAGGGTGTAGGGCGGACGCGGTGGCTTGCGTCTGTAATTCCGGCACTTTGGGAGGCTGAGGCGGGCAGATTGCTTAAGGTCAGGAGATCGAGACCAGCCTGGCCAACGTGGCGAAACCCCTTCTCTACTAAAAATACAAAAATTAGCCAGGCGTGGTGGCGCCCGCCTGCAGTCCCTTTGGGAGGCTGAGACAGAACTGCTTGAACCCGGGAGGTGGAGGTTGCAGTGAGCGGAGATCCCGCCACTGCACTCCAGCCTGGGCGACAGAGCGAGACTCTGTCTCAAAAAAAAAAAAAAAAAAAAGTCCAGACCCCACCCCCACCGCCGCTATTCCCTGCTCTTCCATCCGATTTGGGTCTGAACAGGTCATCGCAGCCGCATTTCCTCGGCGGCCAATTGCGGGCGCCAGAGAGCAGCGGACGCCCCTCCACCAGCGCTTGGGAGGCGGAGTGAGACGCCCTGGAATCCTAGCCCTGCCTTTCGCTGGTTGTGAGCTCTCGGCCATGTTACACACCTCTCAGGGCCTCAGCGCTGGGTTAAAATAGAACTGGTGTCCTGATAATGGGCGAGGCCCCAGTGGAATAATGCCCGTGAAATACACATACTGGGCGTCCACTTAATTAAGGCCCCATCCTCATTGCCTGCCAAGTTCCCAAAAGAGGGATGGGTTTGGGTGGGAGGTTGAGAGGGGAGGCTCCCGGCCTTTCCAGCAGTGCCCCCTCTGCCGTCTGGGCCTGGCAGATACGTGTTGATCCCAGCGTTTTCTCCAGCACGCCCTCGCTTCCTGTCTGTGTTATCCTGAGTGTCCTAAGAGCAGCCCGTTTCTGCCCCTCTTGCAATTACAAAGTCAAACCCAGAGCCTGACCCACAGTAGTGCTCAATAAAGGCTTAGAAAAAACTCGGAGCTATTTGAGCTGTTTTCGTTTTGTTTTGTTTAAGACAGGATCTCACGCTGTCGCCCAGGCTGGAGTGCAGTGGCGCGATCATATCTCACTGCAGCCTCGGCTTCCTTCCACCTCAGCCTCCCAAGTAGCTGGGACTACAGCCGTGCACCACCACGCCCGGCTAATTTTGTTTTTTTTCTTTTTCTTAGAGACGGAGTTTTGCTCTTGTTGCCCAGGCTGGAGTGCAGTGGCATGATCTCGGCTCACTGCAACCTCCGCCTCCCGGGTTCAAGTGATTCTCCTGCCTTAGCCTCCCGAGTAGCTGGGATTGCAGCTGCACGCCACCAGGCCCAGGTAATTTTTTTGTATTTTTAGTAGAGATGGGGTTTCACCATGTTGGCCAGGCTGCTCTTGAACTCCTGACCTCAGGTGATCCGCCCACCTTGGCCTCCCAAAGTGCTAGGATTACAGGTGTGAGCCACTGAACCCAGCCTTTTTTTTTTTTTTTTTTTTTTTTTGTATTTTTAGTAGAAAAATAAAAAGTACAATGTGCTGCACACATTGGGGATTTTGCCGTGTTGCCCAGGCTGGTCTCCAACTCCTGGGCTCAAGCACTCTGCCTGCCTTGGCCTTCCAAAGTTGCTGGGATTACAGACGTGAGCCGCCTTGCCTTGCCTTGAGCTGGGTTTTGAAGGATGCGTAGGAGTAGGAGTTTGCTAGAAGAAGGAAGTGAATTCTAGAGAGAAACTAGTTGTTCTTTTGAGGACTGTCCCTAGCCCTGGTTCTATTTATGGACCAAATCATAATGACAATAGTAGCAATGGCTAATGTTTATGGGCCAAGATTCTTTTTTTTTTTTTTTTGAGATGGAGTTTTGCTCTTGTTGCCCAGGCTGGAGTGTAATGGTGCCATCTCAGCTCACCAAAACTTCCGCCTCCCGGGTTCAAGCGATTCTCCTGCCTCAGCCTCCGGAGTAGCTGAGATTACAGGCATTCGCCACCATACCCAGCTAATTTTGTATTTTTAGGAGAGACAGGGTTTCTCCATGTTGGTCAGGCTGGTCTCGAACTCCCGACCTCAGGTGACCTGCCCGCCTTGGCCTCCCAAAATGCTGGGATTACAGGCATGAGCCACTGCGCCCAGCCTCTTTTTTTTTTTTTTTTGGGCAAGGGGAGGGAGGGTGGGGAGATATGGGCCAATATTCTAGTCTAAGCTGTTTAACTTCTTTTTTTTTTTTTTTTTTTTTTGAGACGGAGTCTCGCTCTGTCGCCCAGGCTGGAGTGCAGTGGCCGGATCTCAGCTCACTGCAAGCTCCGCCTCCCGGGTTTACACCATTCTCCTGCCTCAGCCTCCCGAGTAGCTGGGACTACAGGCGCCCGCCACCTCGCCCGGCTAGTTTTTTGTATTTTTAGTAGAGACGGGGTTTCACCATGTTAGCCAGGATGGTCTCGATCTCCTGACCTTGTGATCCGCCCGTCTCGGCCTCCCAAAGTGCTGGGATTACAGGCTTGAGCCACCGCGCCCGGCCTAACTTCTTTTTTTTTTTTGAGACGGAGTCTCGCTCTGTTGCCCAGGCTGGAGTGCAGTGGCGCGATCTCGGGCTCACTGCAAGCTCTGCCTCCCAGGTTCATGTCATTCTCCTGGCTCAGCCTCCCGAGTAGCTGGGACTAGAGGCGCCTGCCACTACGCCCGGCTAATTTTGTTGGTATTTTTAGTAGAAACGGGGTTTCACCGTGTTAGCCGGGATGTTCTCCATCTCCTGACCTCGTGATCCAGCTGCCTCTGAACCCAGCCCTTTATTTATTTTATTTTTTTTCTGTATTTTTAGTAGAAAAATAAAAAGTACAATGTGCTGCACACATTGGGGGTTTTGCCTTGTTGCCCAGGCTGGTCTCCAACTCCTGGGTTCAAGCACTCTGCCTGCCTTGGCCTCCCAAAGTGCTGGGATTACAGGCGTGAGCCACTGTGCCTGGCCTAAGCTGTTTAATTTATATTAACTCATTTAATCTGGACAACACTCTTATGATGCATTAGTTTCCCAGTAGGAGTTGAGTGCTTCGTTCATCCATTCATTCATGTCTGTATCTGTTCAACTAGTATTTATGGAGCATCTACCATGGGCACGTAGAAGGGAATACACCAGCCAAGGTTAATCAAGTACACAAATAAACAAATAATGACAGGCTGCATTAAATGCTTGGAAGAAAATCATAAGGATGATAGGCCGGGTGCCGTGGCTCATACCTGTAATTCCAGCTTTGGGAGCCCGAGGTGGGTGGATCACCCTGAGGTCAGGAGTTCGAGACCAGCCTGGCCAACATGGTGAAACCCCATCCCTACTAAACATACAAAAATTAGCCAGGCGCGGTGGCTCATGCCTGTTATCCCAGCACTTTAGGAGACAGAGGCAGGTGGATCACGAGATCAGGAGTTCGAGACCAGCCTGGCTAGCATGGTGAAACCCTGTCTCTACTAAAAATACAAAAAATTAGCCAGGTGTGGTGGCACGCACCTGGAGTCCCAGCTATTCGGGAGGCTGAGGCAGGAGAATTACTTGAACCTGGCAGGTGGAGGTTGCAGTGAGCCAAGATCGCGCCATTGCACTCCAGCCTAAGTGAGAATGAGACCTCTGTGTCAAAAAACAAACAAACAAACAAACAAACAAACAAAAAAGCTGGGTGTAGCGGTGCATGCCTGTAATCCCAGCTACTCTTGCGAGGCTGAGGCAGGAGAATCGAGATGGCACCACTGCACTCCTGCCTGGGTGACAGAGCGAGATTCCACCTAAAAAATTAAATAAATAAATAAGGATGATACGATGGAGGGCAGCTGGGAGGGGCTTAAGCTGAGGACCACACTAGGTAACCACGAACAGAGAGGGGGAACTGAGCTTCAGAACCCCCAGAGGAAAAGAAATTAAGAAAACCGGGAAGGCTGGGCATAGTGGCTCACACCCGTAATCCTAGCACTTTGGGAGGCCAGCGTGGGTGAATCTCTTGAGCCCAGGAGTTCGAGACCAACTTGGGCAATATAGCAAGACTCCCCCTATCTATAAAAAATACTAAAACTTAGCTGGGCATGGTGGCTCCCGCTTGTAGTCCCAGCTACTTGAGAGGCTGAGGTGGAAGGATCGCTTGAGCCAGGCGGTTGAGGCTGCAGTGAGCTGTCACTGCACCTCTGCAGTCCCACCTTAGGTGACAGAGTAAGACCCTGTCTGAAAAGAAAAACAAACAAAAAAAGAAAAGCTGGGAAAAGTTCCAAGCAGAGGCAAGAACAAGTGCAAAGCCCCAGAAATGGGAAGACATTTAGAGACTAGAAGATCAATGTGGTTGCAGATGAAAGAGCTCAGGGTGGGGAGTGGGACTCAACATGGGATGGGAGTGAGGATGGAGGATGGGGGTGAGGCTGGAGAGGTGGGGGCAGGGCAGGGAGTGTGGGGTGAGGGATGAGGGTTGGAGTGTGGGGAGGTGGGGGTGAGGGTGAAGAGGTGAGAATGGGCTCATGGGGGTGAGGGTGATCTATGGGACACTAGTCTAGAGATGCCAAGGATGCCACTGGCTGCACTTGTGGGGAGTCCAGGGAGGGCTAGAGGCTGCACACATTGGCATAGGGAGTCATATTTAAAGGGAAGAGCATGGGTCTTGTCTAAAGATCAAGAGTAGATAAGGATGAAAGGAGGCTGTGATGGCTCCCACCTGTAATCCTAGCGCTTTGGGAAGCTGAGGCAGGAGGATTGCTTTAGCCCAGGAGTTCTAGATCAGCCTGGGCAACATAGCCATAGTGAGACACCAACTCTCTACAAAACAAAACAAAATAAAACAAAACAAAGAAAATGAAACATGCAGCTGGGCGTGGTGGTGCATACCTGTGGTCCCAGCTACTCAGGAGGCTGAGGTGGGATAGCTGGAGCCTAGGATGTCAAGGTTTCAGTGAGCCATGTTCACACCACTGCACTCCAGCCTGGGCAACAGAGTGAGCCTGTTTCAAAAAAAAAAAAAAAAAAAAAAGGGCTGGGCGCGGTGGCTCACGCCTGTAATCCCAGCACTTTGGGAGGCCGAGACAGGCGGATCACGAGGTCAGGAGATCGACACCATCCTGGCTAACACGGTGAAACCCTGTCTCTACTAAAAAAAATACAAAAAACTAGCCAGGCGAGGTGGCAGGCACCTATAGTCCCAGCTACTCGGGATGCTGAGGCAGGAGAATGGCATAAACCCGGGAGGCGGAGCTTGCAGTGAGCTGAGATCCAGCCACTGCACTCCAGCCTGGGCGACAGAGCAAGACTCCGTCTCAAAAAAAAAAAGAAAGAAAAAGGAAAGAACAATAAAAGTCAACTGCTGAGAGGGAGGTTTAGGAAGGAAGGGCTGACATTATGACTGAGGTGTGAAATAGTCTTTTGGGCCAG